CCTGGCTACATAGGCTGTGGGTACTCTGCAGGTCTTCAACAGCAGGAGACAATGTGTTGGTAAAAAAAATGTGTGGCAAAAGTTAACTTTGCCTTGGAGGAAAATCAATGGCTGACAAACCAACATGGCTGACTCACTGGTTTCTGGGGTAGATCATCTATAGAGAGGACCATCATGTCCCCCTTCCCAAAAGAAGATGGAGCCAATTCCCCAAGCCTGATCAGTACTGGCCTGTGGCTTGGGTTGAATGACAGATGCAGTCAGTGTGATAGTCGGGTCTCTGGGCCGGGACCTAAGACCCTCTATAGATTCTGCTTCTGCTTAAAGGGAATCAGACAACCATGGAAAGTCCAGGCCATCGGTGTGGACAGAAGTGGCAAAGCTAGGGGGAAAACTTGGGTTCTCTGCCTATGAGTGATCCCAGCCAACACCACAAGAAGAAGGAGACCCAGTCACCCTAGCCGTTCCCCAGATGCTCAAGCCATTCTGTTAAGGCACCAGACACATGAGTGAGGCCATCTTGAATCCTCCAGCCCCAGGTGAGTAGCCCCACCTGAAACCACAGGGGGGCAGAGACGAGCCATTCCACAGGAGCCTGCTCAGATTCCCTGTCCACAGAGCAAATGGTGCAGAGCAAAAGGATTACTGTGCTAATCAGCAAAGTCTTGAGAACAATGAGGCTCAGATGAGTTAATTCCTTTACCCAGGTCACAACGAGTAATAGCAGAGTTGAGATTAGAACACAAGTCTCTGGTCTCAACTGAGGTTCTTCAAATTGATGATGAAATTCCTATTCTTCCTCCTCAGACTTCATTCTGGTTCCATAAAGCACTTGAATTTCAAGATTTTAATTACAGAATGATAGACTTCAAAGGACGAGCATGTTTAGTTGATAACACCTGGCTTAACTCTTAATCACACACTGGCTTACCCTGTTCTCTACAGAATTGAGCAGATGTGTTTTTGATTTATAATTCCTGCCAGGGGAATGTGCTTCCCAAGAGTGTTTTGAAAGATATTCATTGATTGGCTATAAGTAGGCATTACTTTTCACAATAGAATCAGTCTTTCAAAAGTTTTATGTAAACAAGTCATAGGTAAATTGTAGGGTAAAGAAAATGTCATGCTTTCCTGCCCTTCCGCCATCAGGATAGATGATGGATCCTTGAGGTCCTGAATGCATGCCTGATGGCGGGCACCTGGAATAGGGTGTGGGCATAGGTAGATGGGATTCAGCTGAGCTAAGACTGTGCTTTTTAAGGGCGGCGTCACGGGGACGCCAGCAGCAGCAGCAGTAGAAGCCGAAGCAGAAGCCGAAAGAGAAGCCGAGAAGCAGCAGAAAGAACGCTAGAGAGCCCAGATAGAGTGAAGACTTGCTGGGGGCTGGGAGGCCTACCAGCCCCCCCAGCAAGCCCCCCCAGCCAGCACCCCTGCCTGCCATATGCCTGGTGAACCCCAATAAAAAACCTACAAAACCACTGAGGACTCTGACTCCTCCTTTACCCGGTCTGCATGGGATCAGAGAACCTGCACTGTGCCCGGTCCTGCCTTTACATAAATCAAATCATATTTTAATGAAAAGAACCTTTCATTTACAGAAAATCAGCAGTGAACTTTTTATAGAGCTTAAATCATTTTTAAGATGATGAATCACTACAGGGTCATTTTCTGTCCCGGATGCTAAGATTGTTATGTTAGATTTCCTTGAATTTTGGCACAACTTTAAAAGATGAAATATGCGCAGTGCATAAAGGAGTTCTTGACCCAAAAGAAAGTGCAAGGAAAAATGGTGACACTTGCATGCACATTGTGGGTTGCATTGTGTCCCCTCAAAAATGCTGACATTCTAATCCCAGGTACCTAAGAATTTGGCCTTATTTGGAAATAGGGACTTTGTGGGTATAATCACATTAAGGCAAGGTCATCCGAATGACTTGTGACCTTGTGAGGAATGAAAAGACCATGTGATGACCCAGACAGAGGTTGGACCGCTGCGACTATAGGCAAAGGAATACCACGGTCAACACGCATCCTAGAAGGTCGAGAGTCTCAGAGGGAGCGTGGCCCTACAGATTCCTTGACTTTGGACTGCTGGCCCACGGGGCTGTGAGCAAACAGATGTCTATTATTTGGAACGGCCCAGGTGGAAGTGATTTGCTCTTAGAAACTCTTAACAAGGTCATCCTTTTCTTTGATTTAAAAGGCAAAATTAGAGAGGAAGATATTAGTGAGGAAACAGAACAGACGACTGATTTTTGACAAAGCAATGCCTCTTCCCAGCCCTTTCTCCCACGCTGCTTTCATTCCAAAGGCTGGGGAACAAGCCTTTCGTGAACTCCTTTGAAGCCAGGACTGCTCGTGTGACATACGTCTTACCAAAGAAATAGAAGCAAATTCTGCTGGGAGATTCTGGGGAGAATTTTGTTTTGTCGTGTTATTTGTTTCACAAAAAGTAAAGGTTTATTTTCATTCTGCCCTTTTCTGCTCTACCCAGGGCACTGACACTACGGGCCCCTTGTCTTCAGGCTCAGCTAGTGGAGGAGAGACACTGGGTGGGGAGAGGGGAAAAGGAGACACTGCGCTCCTCTCCTGCCCTCTCTGCCTGGCACAGTCTCCCCTGGGAAGGCCTGTGACTCTGACCCCACCCCCGCCCAGCAGGCCCATCATGACCCCATCTGCAGCCAGGTGACCTGGTCCTAGGTTTTGGGACACATTCTCCTCGCTCTGATTTTCCAGCTTCCAGGTAGCAAAGCCTCCCGCTGTTGGTCGTCAGCTGTGCCAATCGGGCTTCTTGACCACAATAAATAATTATTAGGGGCACAATAAATCCCTGCAATAAACTCGCCTGTTGGAAACATTTAGAGCTGGAAAGCTGTAACAGACACGGCATGTGCAATAAAAGGGTAAACTTACCTTTCACCTGAGATGTACAGATAACATAGATCTCAGGTTCCAAAGGGAGTTGTGAGTCCGATGCCATAGTCCTGAGAATTTGCAAAGAGCAGGAGACTAAGAAGTTGAGGACGGCTCTCCATAGCTGTCTGCTGTAGGCTCCCTGCCCTCTGGCACCTGGTTGGGTTTAGCCAATAGGAGACGCTGGAAGGGAGTGGGGTGGAAAGAGTGGGGGCTTGGGCAGGTCCTGAAGCTATCATGGCAGCAGCGGGGGGTCCAGTCTTGCCAGAATCAGGTGCTGGGTCACTCCTGACCCTCTCGTCCAGGCTCAGATGTGAGCAGTGACTGTTTCCTCGCCCACAGCCACTCTTGGCAGGTGGCCCCTCTCCAGAGACCCCAGCCATCCCCAGACCCCAGTAACTCAGGCTGCCGTGGGAACAGCGCCCCCTGCTGCTCCCCACTGGGTGCTGCCGCCCTGACTGTCCCATGAACCCTGCCCAGGTCTTTGGAAATGGCCCCCTTTTAAGTCTTTTTCATGGATCTTCAGGACCCCGTGTGCTTTCTGCTGACAAGCTGATTAGCACAGGGCAGGGAAGGATCTGGAGCTGGAGACTGTAGAGAGGATCCGGAAGAGGATGTCCCTCCAGGGGGCTGACGGGGGTGGACGCCAAGGATGACCAGGGAAGATAATGAATCAGGGTGGAAGCAGCAACGGGAGTTCTGAGCACAGTGTTCGGGAGGGGGGTGCTTGCTGGAAGTGGGTTCCATGCTAGGGAGATCTGGAGGGGCTGCTTCATGAGGAATGCCGAAGACTTGGGGCTGCTGCAGTTTGCTGGAGGAGATCATCTCTGCTGGCCAAGCTGCACTTCGGGTTCATGGAGGGTGAGAGGAAGCAGGTGAGCGTGGTTCTCACATGCAGGGTGTGAGCTTGTGGAATCCTTCCTTCTGGTTCACATCCTGCGCTGTTCCCTCCTGTGACCCTCGTCACCAGTCAGTGAGCCTCTCCATTGTGTCCTCTCAGGAAAAGCTGACCCCCATGGCGCGGCAGCCCTCGCCTGTCCCCTCAGCAGTGTATTTCATCAGTCTGCCTGTTCTGCTCCCCACTCTGTCTCTGGTGAATCCTCTCGCCCCCCTGCACCTCTGGCCTGTACCCCAGTTCTTGTATGCATAAATAAATAAGTCTTCAAAAAAAAAGAGAAAAGAATCATCCCAAAGGTGGGTGAACTGGGGAAGTGTGAATCTTAATTGGACCTGGCCCGAAGCACCCAGCCTCACGCCCAGACAAGACAAAAGTCCACAGCAGTGCTCTGGAGAGAAGAGCACAGTGGGGGAGAGGAAAGGCTCCTGCAGGGAGCAGGACGGCCAGTCAGGGCCAGGCGAAAAGGAGCCGAACTGGACTGACTGTGCTAGACTGTTCGCTGCTGCCATCTTTGTCGTCCCCACCACACTGCCACGGGATTATTATAGTTCTCACTTGGGGGGCAGGGAAGCTCGAGCTCAGGGGCAGCAGGTAACCCTCTCCCGGTCATAGAGTGACCCCAAAATAGGAACGCAGAAGTGCCTGACTCCAAAAGGTATCAATTCTTAACAACCCAAGCTGTTATCCAAGGGAGTACCAATTTATTTGTCAAATCTTCATTCAACGTATCTGTTTTTAAAAACCAAGAAAATGTCCAATTTTGAAAATTAAGCAACATGTTTCTAAACATTGAACTTAGAAAATATTTTTAACTGAATGATAATGAAAAGACATATCAATACTTAAACACTGGAGCACTCAGAGAAAACTTTATTGAAGCAAATGTATGTGTTAGAAAAGAAAAACACTGACCAAAAAATCCATAATTTAAGTTTCCTTTGCAATAAATTGAATAAAGAAACCCCAAGGTACTAGAATGAATTTCTATACCTCTACTGATAAAGAGAAGATTAAAAACCAATTTAAAAAGGCAAAGCTTGCTTCTTTGAATGAGTAGAAAAAAACTGGTAATTCCCAAACAGGACTGATCAAGAAAAAAGAGAGAAGCATAAACTGCAGTGTCAGGCACACATGCTACTGCCAAGCAAAACATGAGCCATGAGGACAAGGGGGGGAAATGTACGTTTTCAAGTCATTCAGAAAAATCTCATTCCAGATTTTATTGTATTTAATCTCACAGGCACTTACTGGTAGAAAACATAAGGCACTTTTAAATTTTGTGGTTTAATCCTCAAAATAGAGAGCACATGTGCTTTGGAGTCCCACAGACCCGAGTTCAAAATCATCCATTTCCTTGAACTAAATTATGACATTAGACAAATGATAGAATCTCTCTGAACTTCCATTTTCTCATCTAACAAATGGGAGATAATAACATCAATCTCATGGTGTAGCGCACCAAGCACTGGGAAGCTCATACACGACGGAATACTTTTCCCAGCATGACCATAATAGTGGCATTTATAGTCTGACTATCAATAGATCCTAAAGGGTTCACAAATGTCCCTGACCCAAGACCCTTCATATGGAATGTGACACTTTCTGGAAAGCTTGGGTATTTGTCTTCCTTGACATGACAGTACCAATATGCACCATATTGAAAAGTGTGCTCATTTTTATAAAGGAGGCTGCCCACAGATACCCAACATAAACCCTTCATACAAACATTAAAATGAAATAACTCAACATAACATTTTCATTCTAATATTATACAATAATTTTTTCTTGAATATTAGGACATCAAAACAAAAACTATGTTAACATTGGGGAGAAGGGTCTTCTCCAGTGTTGACACAATGACAGCAGCTCCCCTCAAATCCTCAGCTCCCCAGCAGTGTGTGTCCTGAGTCAGGCATGTTGATGGACAGCAAGAGTGCAAAGAACTGAACAGATCACGGCACTGTCTCATACTACAGATTTGCATTGTGAGCCCTCAGGATTTTCCACACATTGAAGAAATGTCTCCCTGTGACAAGAAAGCAAAAATGGAGATCAAGAGGCAGTTCAATAAAGGGTCTGGTTCAATTTGCCAATGAAAAAGTCCTCCATTACAGGTCTTAGGTATGTTTTGTCTTGATATGGCAGATGGCAGAGCCTATTTAGAGTGGCAGTTTCGGGGGTTCTGGGTTCCCCTCACCCTGCCCCTAACAGTGGAGACGGGGCAGATAGGGAAGGATGACGATGTGGACCTGGGTGGCCACGGGGTGGCTGGGAGCACCTCCTGGTTAGACGGGCCGGGGTGGAGGGTGCTGGGAAGGGAAGGAGATCCGGATAGTTCATCCCCAATCACCACCAGGGCCAAGAGGGACTCATGCAGCCCTCCTGACTCAGCACAGACAGACAGAAAATGCCTACAAATACCAAGATGCCATCCCTGCCTCAAGAGAAAAATCAATTACCTGTCCATATCCTCACAAGTAAATACAATGTCTGGTCTTAAATCCAATTCCAGTTGTTTTATGGAGGCGCCTGAGCACAAGTTCCTGGAAAGAAAGAGGCAAGTGTTAAAATGACAAGATCTCATGGACATTTCTTGAATCTCTTAGTTTCTTCTGAGGAGCAGGCAGGCCCTGGGCCAGGCTCTGGGCAAAGAGTGGAGCAGAGGAAGCTTCTAAGAGCTCCCAGCTGTAGGGGAGCAGAAGGTGGGAACTAGGTGGGTGTCTATTATGGAGATGAAAGGAAGAGAGAGTGGTTGGGCTGGGTTGAGGGGAGAGTGACTCCCCATCCATCCCTGCCCCAGTCTGTTCCCAGGACATTCTTGTGACTAGGGATTCTTTCATGGCTCAGTTCCTGAAATCACCCTGAGAATACAGGAGTACAAAGCAGCAACAGATACCTGACAGGTACTCCGCGGTCATAGATCACCCAGGCATGTAGTGCACGAACCTCTGAAGGCAAATTAGGGACTTCCACACTTCTAAAAACACTGAGATAAAAGAGATAAAAACCATCGTCAGCCCCAAACCCCGAACTGAACCAGGCATTCTAGTGCCTGTCAAAGCCAGCTGGCAGGAAGCCACTGGTTAGAAGATACTCTCTGAATCTGACCCATAATTTGCAGTAGAAACACCCATTTTAATCATTGAGCTTGACCCTCTGAATAAAGTTCTCACAACAAGAGCTAATTTTGCACATCAACAGTGATTCTTTGCATTTTCTTATTCCAAAGAGGGCCTTAGGTCACATGAGCTTTCCCTGAAGCCAGTGAGAAGTGCAGCATCTCGGCGGTGACACCAGCTGAGTCAGAACCTGTTGCTGCAGAGCCCCCCGGGGTGCACAAGTGGAGCTCCAGAAGCACTGCTTTGAAAAACGCTGATGTCCTGCTCTAACCCCAGCCCCCAACTCTTCCCCATGAGTCTGACAATTGTCATTCCTTTTGCAAATACTGGACCCCTAATACCAGATATAGAATTTGGGAATGTTAATGTTTTCACCCCAAGGTCCACAAAATTGGGGTCAGAAAAATACATAAATGCCAATGTTTCTTTGCGGAGTTAGATGTCACAGGAGAGAAGGAAAATAAATTTGGGGCACCAGAGTGCCCCGAAGATGGAGAACACAGACTGAAAAGGTCCCTGGGGTGGAAGCATCTGTAAGAACAGGGTCAGTCGGAGACAGAGACTCAGATGTGGTAGATTCCGGAAGTGAATTCAAGGAGAATAAGCGCTGATATTCCTCTGTCTTTTCCTCTGTTGTGGGCAAAGATGCTGGACATTGTTCGTGCATCACCTCAGATGATCTTCAAATCGCCATCACACCCCGGCTCCTAGTCCAGGGGCTGCAGAGGTCAGGAGCCCTGCTGGGGTCACATGGTGACCACGATGACCTCTGGAGTCCAACCTGGACCCCTCACAACACACTGTGACAACACCCGGCCTGAGCCATAAGGGCCCAGCAGCCGCCATCGCGCCTGACGTGCTCCACTGTCATTTCACAGCTGGGTGAGAGTCTCACGCTGTTCGTGGAGCAGAGAGGAGTCAGATCAGATCTGCAGGACGGAGAATTTAGAGAAGGTGCAGTGTGGGGGCAGGTGTTACGGGGTAACAGTGTGAACAAAGATGGGGAATGGACAAGATGGAAGGTCATGAGAGACTTTTAAGAAAATCACAAAGGTCAGGAGGCAGAGGAGACACGCAGCAAGGACCACTTCAGGGCTGATGCAAATGAGAAGCTGAACAAAAGTACCAACAAGGAAGGCAAAGGTCTCCATAGAAGACACAAGTTTTACCTGTTGAGACCAAACTTTCTTTTCTCACTTTACATACAAAAATCATAATCTCTTAGAGACGAATTATCCAATAGGCGGTTATATTAACCACAGAAACAGAAATCATGTACCTGATTTCGCTGTAGGTGTCACTGACGGACCCATTGAGTAACACATGAACCTTTCCACTGGTGTTTTCTGCAAACTTAAGAACAAAACAGCACCTCACCATCCCTCAGCATGCAAACATCAGCACCATCCCCAGCACTTCCACCAAAACAGCTCTCAGCTCAGCTGGTGAAAGATGGAATATCCCGCGTGGGTCTAGCTCAGTGAAGTCAGGGCTGTGAGTGTCGTGCCCAGACACTGGAGGAATTTCGCGTCACATGGGATTCTGGAAGGAGTGGCTCCAATTTGTGTCTGAACAATGAAGGTCAATGTCATTGTTCCCGTGGGAGCTAAATTAGGGTCCAGAAGCCGGAAGTGTAGAGACTGAGGGGAACTTCACTGGGGAAGGAAGAGGACACTTCCTGGGACCTGCAGTGTAGACACTGCGCATTTCACCTTGGGTGTTAAGCAGTGGAAGAAATGGGTGAGCCAAGAGGAGGGAGGTAGGAGAGAAGGTGACACTGAGCCCTGGACAGGCCCAAAGAGAAATGCATGGTGACCATTATGAAGCCAGGAGTTGTAGTTCACCGTGCAGCAAACATTTAGCTGGCGGCTGTGCTAGGCCTGGGGAATTCAAAAGGAACAAAACCAAGGCAATGACATGCTTCCCCAGGAGGCTCACCAGGACCCCGGGACAGCTCCAGTCCCTTCCCTGAGCGACAGCAGCATCCCACATCCTCCATGTGACCTAACAATATCGTACTGTGGTGAGGAGCTTAACCACCAGCGCCTGGAGTGCTTGAGAGTCAGGACCGCCCTGCTGGCCGTGACAGGGGCAGCACCTGGCAGAGGGGGCGCCCAGGAAACTCTGTCACAGGAGCAGAGGGAGGAAAAGGAAGGAACCAGGAGCCAGAAGGGCAGTTCCCTGTGAGGGAGATGAGGAAGGGCAGGAAGGAGGGCAACAAAGACCAAGACCCGAAGGATGAACAGGATGTCGCCGAGTCACGGAGGCAGCTGCCAACAGAAAGGTCAGGGGGCTCGAGAGAATAGGGGCGATTTGGGGGACCCCTCAGTGGACGCTGAAGTGAAGTAGAAGAGTCAGTTCATGGAATTCAGGTTCATGGATGTTTAGTCACGGGCTTCGCCTTTATCCTGCAAGTGGTAAATCACCGTAGAGAGAAATTGAAACGGATTATGAAACCCCAGCGTGTCTCTTCCCTCCGGGTGTGAGGCACAGAGGCCAGCGGCGGGGGGGGGGGTCACCAGTCACAGGGGTAACTCAGTGGAGTGCTGTCAGGGAGCTGAGCAGGGACCCCGCAATATAGAAATAGCAAGAGCCCCACAGAGTCAGTACCGGGGCAATTTTCCCCAAGGTCATGTCTCTTGGCAGCAAGAAGGAAGATGGGGTGCAACCACCAAGCCACACTGTCTCTGTGTCAGAGACGGAAGGATGGAGTCTGATGAAAGAAGGTCATGGACACACATCCCTGAGATCTGGCCAAGATAAAGATGCAGTCCTGGGGGATCTCTCCATGGAGTGTCACTGAGGTTAAGTCACCTGATGAATTTCAGACCCTAGAACATCCTGTCTCTGCATGTCTATACACACCCACCTCTCTTGAGGTTTACTTTTTAGACACAGCAGAGCGTAGAGACTTATGGATTGACTTGGAGCTGAGCGCCAGGCCAGCTGGAGAACACACGTGCAGATGCAGAGGAGGGGCTGCCCAGGGGCCAGGGGCCCCCACAGAAATGCATACACCAGTTGTCTGAAGCAAAGTGTCTTTATGCATAAACTGCCTTGGAATTAGCCAGTTGTAAGGGAACTTCAGTCAACTCCACATTTCTTTGCCTCTAACGTGCTTTTCAGCCAATAAAACTTCCCTCCTTTGCTCTCAACCCCAGTCTCCAAAGCCTCTATAATTTCATCCCCTTTCTGAACTGGGGAGGCAGATTTGAGCTGATCTCCTGTTTCCTTACTAATTCATCCTCCATAGACTTTTCCTTTACTCAAAATCCTGGTGTCGTAGTAACTTGGTCTCCACACAGCAGGCATGTGGTGGTGTCATTCCCAGTAAGTGGGCTGGGGAGGGGGGTCCGTTGGGGAGTTGAATGAATGAAAGGAGAGGACAGGCAGCCATGGAAACTGATCCTTCATACATGAGCCATGTCATGAGTCAGGTCACACCCAAGCCAGCACCCTAACAACTCAGTGATGCCTGGAGTGTGAACAGAGCCCCAACACCCTCCCTGCACAGCAGAGCAAGTCTTCTGTCTCACCTGCTGCTTCTCTTAACTCTTTGGTTCAATAAATCTGCCTTTTCTGTTCCCTGCTCTGTCTCAGAATTCTTTCCCCACTGTGTCCTCAGCCTGCACCCCAGTTCTCCCCAGCAATTGGACAGGAAGCTGGTTGCTTGGTAACAGTAGAGTGGCCTTGGTCACATTTACCATGTTCCTGCTCCAAGGCTAACATTTCCCTTACCTTGCACTTTTAGCAGATATTTTATTTACCTGCACCTCCAAGCTGTCACCTGTAAAACACGTGTGATGTGCATGGAACCCACTTGATAGGGTTCTGTGAGAATGAAAGGTTTTCATCCATGGGGCAGCCAAGGAATGTGCCTGGCAGGTAAGTGGTCTGTAAATGTGGATTCTTAAGATTGTTCAGAATCCGGCCTCCCTGGTGGCACAGCGCGTTGAGCTCAGCTCTGTGAAGCTGTCCTCAACCTCCGCAGCACTGGTTCAATTCCCAGCCAGGTAGGGAGAATCCCACATGGCGCGGCAGACCTCTCCTGTCTCCCCCGCTGCTCCCCTCAGCAGTGCTTTCCTCCGTCTGCCTGTTCTGCTCCCCTCTCTGTCTCTGGGGAATCCTCTTACCCTCCCATGACTCTGGCCTGTACCCCGGCTCTTGTATAAATAAAAAAAAAATCTTTAAAAAAAAAGATTGTTCAGAATCCACAATTGCCCAACACCTGGATCAGACGATTAAAACAGCCTGAGTGTCCTGGCAGCCAAAGTCAAAGAATGGATGGACGAGCCCGGGGATTCTCTTCAACTAAGGGTCTGGACCCTCCGTGAAACTCCAAAGCTATATGTGAAAATCTTCTGGCACAGGCTTATGAAAGTTTTACTCAGGAAAGACTGAATCCTAAATATTCCTAAAAGGCCCTGTGATCCAAAAAGAATGAAAACCAACCATTGACCTTTAAGTTCTTGGGTCTACAGAATTCTAGAATTTCACTGCTGGTGCTTACCCATTTGGATGACACGTTCCAGAATACACCTGCAGCATTATCATGGCAGGTTTCATCCTTTTTTGGACAAGAGTCAAGATTCACACCTAAAAGACATAGTTTACAGAAAGCAATTGAAATAGAAAAGAGTATAATTAAGCTCCATTTCCCCCCCGGCTCTTCCAGCTGGTGGAGCCCCTCTTCCTGTGTATATCTCTCTCCTTGGACTCTGAGTTGTCTTTCCTCCATCCCGTGCCTCTCCCAGTGCTGCTACCCTGCAAGGTGACAGACCCAAAGGGGCCCGCTCCGGCTCCCCTCCACCCACACCCCATATCTCCAGCTGCCCTGTGGAAGGTGGACGTCGTCTGGGTCCCGCCCTGGTCCTCACCCTGCTGTAGAATTCTTTCGCCCTAAACGCTGTCCTTACAGAAAACAAAACCCCAACAATTCAGAAGCCGGCTGTGCCTGTCTTCCCAGAGCAGAGGCTCAAGGAGCAGGGGCACCCCAAAGCCCGAAGTCAGTTTTTCTAGAAAACATTCGAGGGCCAGCCCTGGTGGTTCAAGGGGTTACTACACAACCTGTGAGGCTGTCCGCAGCCACCCCAGAGCCAGTCTGATCCCCAGCCAGGGAACTTCCCACATGGCACAGCAGACCTCTCCTGACTCGCCCGCTGCTCCCCTCAGCAGTGTATTTTGGTCAGTCTCCCTGTTCTGTTCCCCACTTTGTCTCTGGTGAATCCTCTCAGCTCCCACACCTCTGGCCTGTACCCCAGTTCTGGATTTCTAGTTGTTCCTCATCCTAAGACTTTTGTCCTGGTGAGGGGCCCCCTGCCTGACTCTACATTTTAGTTTGACCATTTTAGCTTGTATGCAAAAATAAATAAATCTTAAAAAAAGAAATTGACGGGCCAAAGCAGGCAATGCTCCTCCAGCCTGATGTGTCCATGAGAGGTGAGTGGTATCAGCGGGGTCCCTGGAACACCTCCCAGCACATGTTTTTTGGGGTGCCTGGCTGAGCCAGAGCTTCTTCACCCTGCAATCCGCCTAGTTAGTCCCTCACCAGAAGAGCTTTGGTTTCGACACCATGTGAGGATATCAGCAACGTGGCCCAGGAGCACTTCCCTCATCAAGAACAGCCTCCCTCCAGCCTTCTTGTAATGATGTGTCAGTTCTTCTGTTTTGCTCCAAAAAAGGACCTAAGAAAGAATAAACACACCGCCCATTGAGAACCATGTAGCAAATTTTTAAAATATACATTATTAATTATTTTGTTTTATTTATATACTTTTTACATCATTGTTCTTTCTTGTACAATGTCTGCTTTCTCCTCTCAGGTGGAGTCCCCGGAAAATCCCGCCACCAAGTCACCCGTGCACCCTCACCTTAGTCCCTTGTGCTCCTCCCTCCCCTGTTAAAAATACATGTTTTTTAAATGAAAGAAAAGCACTGAAGTGTTCAGAGTAAATCCTATACAGCACACACGTGTGTGTTCTGGGTCACCATGTGAAATGATTTCATTATTCTGCTCATACTCAGAAAATCTTGTAACAAATCTGAGATGGGAACCATCTGGAGGAGGCATCAGGAGATTCAGAGTTCCTGAAGGATCTGCAAGCCCTTTTGTCTACAGGCTATTTCTGGGAGATGAGCTCCTTGATGCTTAGAGGTCCAGCCTCTCTGTTTCTTTCCCCAGTCTGCCCTCTTCACACACACAGGAAATGAACAAATGCAGCGAGTTTTCGTCAAGGTCCCCTGAAAGCACACGGAGAATCAAATTTCAGAGCAGTCGTCTACTCCAGGGACCTGTGGGTTCTGAAGAGCAGGCAGGGGAGGGTGGGCTGGGAAGCCCAGGCCGGGAGTCCCACGGCCTTAGGAAGCGTCCCCACTCACCGTCTGCCTGGACTTGGACACCAGAGTATCGCTAACCTCACCTTCCCCAAATGGAAATGGGCAACAATGATCAGAACCCCTGGGAGGCCGGGGTCACAGGGACAATGCAAAGAAATCACAGCCTGGTCATTTACCAAGACTTGACCCTCTCCCCCACCACATGCTGTCTTGGGCCCGGGGGACTCTGCAATAGCTCCAGCTTCTAATGATGGATGGGGCTGAAGATTTGGGGCTCACTGAATTTCCCCCTTAAAATGCTGACTTGTCATCTGGATCGATGTAGTGATGATCCTGCCTGATGTAATAGACATGACATGTGCTGACACTGCAGAGGCCTGACGGATGGAAGATGTGGCAATTGAGATAGAGCAACTTCAGGTATCCATGAAAAAGGAACCACTTTTCATGAAGACATTGATAAACAGACATCCAAGAATCCAGGTAAAGCCCTGACTGTGGAGAGAGGCCCCTGCTCAGTCAAAATTATCAGTTGGTCCTGATAACATGCCTCAGAAAATGGCATAACTATAGGCGCTACACCTGAGACAAGGTGGACTCCACACACATGGGCCTAAGTCTCCCTTAGACACGCTCAGAGACACCGAGACTCTACCTCTGAGCGTGACCTTCGTCTCCCCATGGATAGGGGATGCCAGGGGCTCTCTGGACTGGCGATCATCCATTCTGCATCACCTGTCTCCCTAACTTTGCCAAGAGGTTAGTTACTTCCCCCTTTGGCTGCCAATTCCGTGGTACCCTCATCTCATTATAATGCACATTCCCCCAGCAGATTCATGCTGCGGTTATGTGCTTTTGACTTGAGAAGAGGAAGCCTTGGCTTTTCGGTGTGGAAGTGAGCGCCTCAGAGACTCCTAACCTGATGAACATGACTTTAGGGGAGATGTGCTCTGTCCCAGTATGGTCAGTGTATGACAGCCTAGAGCTCTCTGGTGCCAGATTGAGCCATTCACATTTCAACTGGCCATTTTTGAGGCCCTCACTAGTCACCTAAACTCACCTCAGTTTTCTCACTGGTGAAAAGGGAATGTTGGCCTCTGACCTACATGCTCCACAGGGTGACTGTGAAGCTCTCACAGGATAAGGGTGAAGAGTCCTTAGTGAAGTAACACAGGCCTCCACACATGCAAACAGACATTGTGTTGTCATCACCATCACCCTCAGAGGTCAGGGGAGGTGCTGTCCTTCCAGAATGTTGCGTTAATTTGATTTTATTTTCATTGGGTTGAGTTGGATCCATGGTCAGTTTGTGTTCTCCAATTTCTGGCTTAGTCTCCTCTCTTCTCTCCTCATCCCTATTTCTCTCACTTTCCTCCAGATGTCCTCAATCCTAAGGATCTCTTGGTCCAAGAGCCCCACAAACCCCCATCCCACCAAACACCCCTAGATTCTATTTCCGGATTTTTCCTATTTCCTCATCATAGTCAAAATGTGTCCCGTGACCTTGTGCTTCTGGCTTTTATCCTCGGTTTTGAAATCAATGACCCTGATTACCTTGTCCCTAGGTATTGCTTGATTCACCAGCTCCATCAGTGGTTGATAGTCTTCTGCTCTAACGTGGCAAGAGTCCTTAGAAATAAATGCATTCGTGAATTCCTCCGCTATCTTTTCGCAGTCTTTATCTACCCTGTGAGATGAAACACAGACAATCAAACACGAGTAATTAGATTTCAAACTTATTTTTGTTTTTTAAATTTATTTTGAATGGAGGTCATCTTTGGATGCCCCCACCATAGTGTACCCACCACCAAATCACCCAGAGTCCATCGTGTCCCCTTCCCTGTTTGTTTTCATCGCCCCATCTCTCCCTTCTGGCTGCTTCAGTTGTAGAGTCAGCTTTCAGGGTTAGTTTTTAAGGTTGTCTTTTTCTGACTCTTAGTTTAGTTTCTTTGTATTTCAAATAGTACTGACACCACCCGTATTTATCTTTCTCCTTATGACTTGTTTCATTTAGCATTACCCCTTGTAGCTCTACCCATGTTGCTGCAGATGGCATGAGTTTATGCTTTTTGATCACTGAGTAATATTCCATTGTGTGTATCTATCACATCTTCTTGATCCACTCATCTGTTTGGGGCACTTAGCTTTTTTCTATAATTTAGCTATAGTAAATAGCACTGCCTCAACATGGGAAAGCAAGTTTCCTTTTGAGTTAGCATATTTGAATTTTTGGGTAGATGCTGAGGAGTGGAATGACTGGCTGTACGGCAGGTCCATAATTAATCTTTCTCCAGACTGCTTTCCAAAATGGCCGAACAAGTTTACATTCCCACCAGCTGTGTAGGAGAGCTCCTGTTCTCCACATCCTCACCAGCGCTTGTGTCAAACATATTGTTGGGGCATAATTACCCAGAAAATCACATTTAGGAAGCATTGACTAGCATCTGTTACTTCATTTTTTCATCTTCTTTAATCTATACAACACTTTAGTGAGAGAAACATTTCTCTCCCAACCCTATAAAGCCCCTGTGCTTGTGGAGCTCACTCTCTGTAGAACCAGACAGTAAACAAATGAACAAATAAGGGAACAAAATAAGTGCAGATTGTGGTAATAAGCAAGCAGGAAATGAATGGAGGGGGAGCAAGAGGAGAAGACTGGATCAATGACCACTTTAGGGAGAGTGGTCAGGAAAGGTCTCCCAGAGAGGTCTTCCTCGCTGAGACGGTGATGAGGAGGGGGCACCACACAGCAGGGGAGGCCGTGCAAAGGTCCTGAAACAGAAAAGAACTTGCCAGTTCTGAGAAACTGAGAGGCAGAAGCTCTAGGAGCAGTTTGGGGAAGACTTGACCTACTCATAAGAATATTTCAAGGAGAGCTGGAGTCTTAGTCCTCTAGAGCTTCCCCTTTGTCTCAGTTAGTGACAATTAGTCCAAATGCAGATATTAGGTTCTAATCAGGGGCACGTCCTTTCTCTTTCTACCATTCTGCTCCTCCCCACTGACTCACCTATTCTCCAGTGAGTCATTTCCTCCTGTTCATTTTTCACCTCTTCTCTCCCCCTCTGACCTGCCAGGTAGGTTGTCTCCAGAAGTTCAAAGATTTTGACTTTTCTGATTGTTCTGCTGAGCCTAGTCCAAAGGAGGGAAATGACAGAGGAGGTAGACCAGTAATCCTGGTGAGTGCCAGTGTGGTCTGGGCCAGGGCAGCAGCAGCGCCCATGGTGAGAAGTGATGGAAGAGGAAGGGACTTCACTTGTCCTGTTTAAATCCCACACTAAATTTTAATGGGTGGGGGGGCATCCTGCCTTATCCCTGTTTTGGAGCTACAGAAGCTCAGGGAGCAACTTGCCCAAAGCCAAACTGTGTGAGCAGCAGAGCAGCCTCACACTGCTCACTGCTGAACAATGCTGCCCCCTACAGGAGGTGTAGAATCATGGCGCGCTCCCCAGAGGGAGGCATCTCCTACCAGCTTGAGGTCCTGAGACCCACAGAGGGACTGTCTCTGCCCCAGAAAGGTGAAGACCAGATGTAAGGTGAGTGAATGAGTCAGGTTTTCACCATGCTGGCCTCTGTCGCTGTCACCTGCGACCTTGAATGCAGGAGGCGCTTGGGAGCGTGGGCGTGGGCACGCGTGCCTGATGGTGGACAACTGGAGCATATTGGGCAGGCGTAAGTGTGCACACCTGGGCCTGGGGGCTGAGGATTTAAGGGCAGCGACCTTCAGAGACAGTCTAAGGAGGGGCGACTACAGCAGAGCAGCTACGAGAGGAGACCATGAGAGAATCCAAAGAGGGTCCAAATAGAAAAAGTAAAGATTCACTGGTGTGAGCTGACCAGGATGAACGGACAACACACACTGTGAGCTGCTGACCTAAGGTGAGAGTGGAAGGGCCGCTCCTTGACACGGGATCTGGGTGCATGTGGCTCCATCCACAGCTGGGGGCTCTCTCCTGAGGGGGAGGAATCCCTGGGGAGCTCAAGCTGGGGCTCCAGGCTGAGGAGGCCCAGAGGAGGGGAGGGGCTGGTGATGGCAGTTTCTAGAAATGACTCCTGGAGAACTGGTCTTCGCAGCCTCTTGAGCATTTTGAACTAGAGGCATTTCTCTCCCGCACACGATTTGCTCTCCACCCCCCCCCCCCCACACACACACTCCCTTTTACTTCACTATTACATTGGGTGACATTTGATTTAGGGATACTCTGAAGATGACAGGAGGAACGCCCCACCCTGCTTCCTCCCTCCACGGAGTCCTCAGTTACCTGCAAGTAAACACCTGTGAGGACTGGACAATCTGGAGGCCCACAAGGGGCAGGTAAGACCTCTGGGGTCTGTTACAACAGAGAAACCCCCCAGGAGCTTTCACTCCCTGCTTGGTCCCTGCCAGCACCACCTCAAAAAGGGGTTCTGGGGGGAGACAAGCCCTGGGAAGGGAAACCAGCCCAGCTGGAGGGTGTCTGGGGGCAGATGAGCAGCTCGCTGAGGGGGTCATGAGGAACCCTCTGGAAGGTTTCCTGGAGCCACATGGTGCTGTTCCTTCCCAGGGTCTGTCCAGGTTCTGGGGCTGATGCCTCCAGTGTCCCTGTTTCCGGGTCACAGATTTCAGGGCGCCCAACCGTGGGGTGGCTGGTTTGTGCTCCTGAGGAAACCCCCTCCGCGATCCAGCGCCCCTGCCCCCCCCACCGCACACCCCGCGCCCCGCCCCGGGTCCCCTGCGCCCTCCCTGCGCTTCCAGGCGGGCCCGGCGGGCACCGGGGGGGGGGGGGGGGGGCGCTTGCTCACCCCCCTGAGACCCGAGCCCCGCGGCCCCGCCCCGAGACGCGCCCGCAGCGGGGTCGGAGCCCGGGGGTGCGGGGGACCCGCGGGGGCTGCTCCCGGCCCGGCCCCGAGGCGGGTCCCGCGGGGGGCGGAGGCTGCGCGCGGGGCCGGCGCAGGGGCTTCCCGGGGCGGGGGGGTCCTCAGCCCGGACCCCGCTCTGCCCGCCCGGCGGGCCCGGCTTCTCCCCGGACCCCGGACAGAGGATACTGAGGTGCCCACCTACCTCAGCTCCGAATTCCGGGGCGGGGTGTACCCCGAGCACTGCAGCAGGATGATCTCGGAAAAACTCTCCTTCCTCGGCCATGCGCGCGGGATGATCATCGCTGCCCCGAGGATCACCAGGTTGCAGACACCCACGCACAGGCCTGTCCTAGCCCCCGGGGAGAAGCCACAGCGGGGCTTCGCCCCCGGTAATGGGCTGAATCTGGTCTCTGCCATGGAGCCCCCCAGTCTGGTGGGCAGCGAAGCTGATGGAGAGGCGGCATGAGGGAGGAGAGGAGACAAGAGACACAACCTGGTGATGAGATCGAGCTGCTCCCCTCTCTCGCCTTCGCTGGCCTTTTCTAGGGTCACTTCCCACCCCCACCCCACCTGCCCAGCCCGTGGCTGAGCGACCAACAGGTATATCAGGGACTTAACAGAGCTGACAACACCCTCTGCCTCCAGACTCCCGAGCAGAGGGACCCCAATGCCCCCCAGGGAGAAAGGACCCCCCTCACCCCAGATGTCAGCCCCCACATGCCCCCTGCCCGGGTCCCCAGGGCCCTTGTGCTGCCCCCACAGCCTGGGCTGGACTGCAAGGGCGGCTTCTGCCCCAGCAAAGGCTCCGCCTGCCCAGGAATGGGCTACAGCCCCTGTCAGGGGCCAGTGCCTCTCAGCATCCCAGAAAGACTCCCCCTAACCTTCCCCTCCTCTCAAGTGGCCTTAGACCTAAGACCAGGGTGCAAACCCAGCTGTACCTCCCACTGCCTGGGTGACTGGAGCTAGTTTCTTGACCTCTCTGGGCTTAGATGTGAAGCAGATGACAGCAGGGCCTCCTGCATCTGGTCACTGAGCACGAACTGATTTCCTCTACACAGGTACTCAGCTCCACGCCTGGCACGTGGTAAGCCTCCCTAAGCATTAGCGATCACTCCCTGCTCCCTGATGCTGTGGATGGGGTGTGATTTTATAACCTGCTGGGTGTGTTGGGAACAATGTCGGCTTGCAGTAAGCACAGGCATGTGGGTAGTTTGTAAAGCCAGGAGAAGATCTAAGAGCGTGTAGAGAGTGTGCCTCCATGGAATGGCGCTCCCCGACCCCCGAAAGCCAGACATGCTGGCCTCTCTGTCCCCAACCAGCCAGGTTCTGCCTTGGGTCTGGATCTTCACAGATGTCATTCCCTTCCCTGCTAAATTCTGCTAATAATTCTGCTCTCCTTCATGTGACAGGCCTTTCCTGGCTCCATGCAGCTCCCAAACTGAATGAGATCTCCAAATTACGTACTTTCCTGGCTGAATCACACAAAGGTCAGTGGATGTCCTGCTCTCAGGCAATCCAGATCTCACAGGCTCAGATCTGGACCCCCCGGCTTGGAGCACACCCTCTGAGTATTTCACCCTCAGGAATTGAAGTTTATTCTCTTAGTATCCTGGGACGCATGGATGACCATCAGTGTTTGTTGAATGAATACATGAATGACACTAGTCCACCCTTTCCAAACTGGATTCACAGAGTTGTTCTCAGAGCCCCAGATCTACATGAAATCATATGAAAATGGGATGAGGAATGTTGGTTATCCCTGGGACTTCATTTCCCTGATTTCTCAGCTGCCACCCCCACTACCTTGCCCGGAGTGTGAACTTTTATTTGAATATCGTGCAAGGCCCCCAGTCACGTAGAGTGTAGTGAAACTTGCCACTTGCTCCTGATTGGACTGAGCCACCTAGTTCTAGGACTTTGTAGCTTGTAAAATGAAACAGCAAAACCGTGCCATAAAAGCAATCTCTTCTATAAAAGATATTTGCTTTCGATAATATAATAAAATGTATGAGTAAAAGTCTAACAGAACAAATCAACACTTGTTCAATATTTTTCTGTTGCTGCACTTTCACCACATCCATAAAAAGGCAGCATCCATGCATACACCTAACCACAGAGGGAAAAGCCTGTGCTGTTTCATCAAAAGCATAATGTATTGTATTCTCCATGGCACACCTGGTTTTCTTCATCTGGTGAGACATGGTGAGGACTCTGCCTATCACCTCTGAAGGCTTTACCAACTCTTTTAGATGACTCCTACTATTCCACCGCCCAGTATCTACTCAAGGTTCACTAGAGTAGATCCCCACCTTTCTTATTACATGAAATATTGTAATAACTGTCCTAGAGTCAGCATATGTGTCCTGTGTCCCAGCATCCACACCCCGTGAAGTGGACTCCTTGGATGCCAGGGGGCAGGCTGCTCACACTGGCTGGAGCTGGGCTATCTGCAGGTGGCTGGCAAAGCATCAGCCTTCACTCCAACAATGCGCCATGCCCTGCAGCCTCTGGGTGCCTCGGGGGTGTGCTCTCAAAGGCACTGGAAACTGTGCACGGAGATCACCCTTCAACGCAAATCTTTTTTCTTTCATTCCATTATTCATCCATTTGTGCATCAAATATTTAGTAAGCGCCGACTGTGTTCCATGAGCTATTTTAGGTGCTGGGCTCACAGCAGCTAAAGGAATTCAGTCCTTTCAAATAATAATAACAATGAATTCAAATAAAGAATTGAAGGGTTACTTTCCTAGTTGCTATTACTTCAACCTTCCCAGGTCATACTTGTATTTCCAGATGTAGTGAAGAAAACCTCCCTAGTCCCACAATGTTTGGGAGGGCCCAGGTAGAGGGCCGTGGTCAGGCCTCTAGGACTTAGTCCCCTGCAGTGTTGCCTATTATGGCGCGTGTGGGCGCTGCACGTGTGGTCAAAGGGCCCCTGAGGAGCCCCGGGGGGACTGGCTCTTCTGCATGTAGCCAGCAGGTGGCAACTCCAGATGTCGCAGTAGTGACACCGCGAGTGACTGGCAGGTCCCGAGGACTCACCCAGCTAACAACAGGCTTCAAGGCTGCTGGGAGAAGCAGGTAAAAGGTGGATTAGATCAAAGTTGGGACACTCTGCATTATTTTTCAGAAATTAAACATTTAATCTTAATCTCTGCCATGAAGAAATGTGTGTGTTCTTCCCAAACAGCAGGAGACACTGTTAACAAGACGGATGCTGCTGCACGCGCTCACCGTGGGGAGTGCTGAGCCGGCTCTGCGGCCTGTCCTGGGGCTGCTGTCGGTGGCTCATCTCATCTCTTGATCAGCTGATCCCGACACTGTCTTCCCCAGGACACGGGCCCCTACAAGCACCATTCAGATGGCCGCTGTTTTTTATTTTTAAATGTTTGAAAGTGTTTGATTCCTGAGTGTCTCCATTCTGGCCTTTGAGCTCCAGGAGAGCAGAAACAGTTTGTTTTGTTCCTCCGGATCACGCCGGCCACCCTAGTATGTAGATAGTCCATGAGTATTGAATGAAGATCAAAAACAGAAGAAAAGGGAGGAGCAGGAGGAGGGGAACACATGTCACCGTGTACAGCACGTCTTGGCGGGAGGTAGACATGTACGAAACGAGAGAAATTAAAAACCATGCTGCGTGTGAGGTGGTGACAATATCTAAGAAATTAAATAAGCAGGACCGGGATAGGAAGGGGGAGCGTGTGATGCCAGATGGAAGGTCACAGAAGCTCTCACTGAAAATTTACCACTGAGGATGGATCTGAGGGAGCCGAGGTGGCCGGGCGATGTCCAGGACAGCAGGATTCCAAGCGGAGGTGAGGAGCACCTGGAATGGTGACTGAAGGGCCAGGTGAAATAAGAGGAGCTGGCACAGACTCAGCAAGGACCAGAGGCGGAGGAGAGGACAGGGGCACTGGGCACGGGCCCATGACCACTCAAGGCACAGCAAGACGTTCCCGACTCCCAGCTCACCAGGCTCCCTCTGATGCTTGTGCAGGACAGGCTGACGGAGCGCAGAGAGGCCAGCCCGCCTTGCGGGGGGGGCCCGGCGGTGTCATCCAGACAGGAGATGGTGGCGGCTTGAACACAGTTGGCAACAGCAGATGTGGCTGAATTCTAGAATTATCTGAATATAGAAATGCCAGGATTTGTCTATGGACTACAGACAATAGAAAAACACACGCATTGGTGTGAAATAGCCCCAGGCATAAGCTGAGGGAAATACATCTATCAGTCATTCTACACAAGCATTTCAGAGCAGCCAGTACACCCCCAAATTCATGCCAGAACTTTCTCCACAGATTTTCTTACAAGCTGCTTACTTGATTCCCTGAGACAACTGTGCTTTTCCATTCTTAGAATCCAACACAAAGAGGCCTAAGGGAAAATACCTCAGCTAGAACACATTTTTGAGTACCTATGAGGCAACTGAGAGAGTTCCAACCTCGCATCCTCAGAGCAAGCTGAAAAACAAACTAAAACTATAATAATGGAAAGAAAAAAATAACAATAAAAAATAAAAACAACGAAAAGTCACCAAGAAGCTCCCAACTGAATTCTTTGAAAGTAAATGGAATGCATGTCATTTTTAAAATTTTGTTTTGTTTCCTTAATTTTGCTTTTTTTTTTTTAAATAAACTTTGTATCTAGAGAAGCTTGATAGGTTTACGGTTTTAAAAAAAACCAACAGTGGGTCCAAATGGAGTCCCTCACGCCAGGTCCCACCAAGACTTAACACCCAAAGTAACTGAAGTTTCAGCCTCACAACTTCTTTTGGGGAGGCCACATGTGGGGAACAGCAAGGAGCCGGGATCAGGGGGAGGGAAGGGAAGAGACGAGGCCAGGCTGGGTCTTGCAGGTCAATGCACAGATTCCCCTACCACAGAGCAAATGGTGCAGAGCAAAAGGATTACTGTGCTAATCAGCAAGGTCTTGAGAACAGTAACGCCACTGTGGGTCCCCTCCTGTCCCAACCTGGCTTCTCCACCTCTTTTATTACGGGCACAATAAATCCCTGCATTAAACTCCTCTGTTGGAAATACTTAGAGCTGGAAAGCTGTAACAGACACGGCATGTGCAATAAAAGGGTAAACTTACCTTTCACCTGAGATGTACAGATAACATAGATCCCAGATTCCAAAGGCAGTTGTGAGTCCGATGCCAAAGTCCTGAGAACTTGCAAAGAGCAGGAGAGTAAGAAGTTGAGGACGGCTCCCCATAGCTGTCTGCTGTAGGCTCCCTGCCCTCTGGCACCTGGTTGGGTTTAGCCAATAGGAGACGCTGGAAGGGAGTGGGGTGGAAAGAGTGGGGGTTTGGGCAGGTCCTGAAGCTATCATGGCAGCAGCGGGGGGTCCAGTCTTGCCAGAATCAGGTGCTGGGTCACTCCTGACCCTCTCGTCCAGGTTCAGATGTGAGCAGGGACTGTTTCCTCGCCCACGGCCACTCTTGGCAGGTGGCCCCTCTCCAGAGACCCCAGCCATCCCCAGACCCCAGTAACTCAGGCCTGCAGTGGGAACAGCGCCCCCTGCTGCTCCCCGCTGGGTGCTGCAGCCCTGACTGTCCCATGAACCCTGCCCAGGTCTTTGGAAATGGCCCCCTTTAAAGTCTCTTTCATGGATCTTCAGGGCCCCGTGTGCTTTCTGCTGACAAGCTGATTAGCACAGGGCACGGAAGGACCTGGAGCTGGAGACTGTAGAGAGGATCCGTGAAGAGGATGTCCCTCCAGGGGGCTGACGGGGGTGGACGCCAAGGATGACCAGGGAAGATGATGAATCAGGATGGAAGCGTCAACGGGAGTTCTGAGCACAGTGTTCGGGAGGGGGGTGCTTGCTGGAAGTGGGTTTCATGCTAGAGAGATCTGGAGGGGCTGCTTCATGGAGGAATGCTGAAGACTTTGGGCTGCTGCAGTTCGCTGGAGGAGACCATCTCTGCTGGCCAAGCTGCACTTCGGTTTCATGGAGGGTGAGAGGAAGCAGGTGAGAGTGGTTCTCACATGCAGGGTGTGAGCTTGTGGAATCCTTCCTAGTGAGCCTCTCTATTTTGTCCTCAAGAAAAGCTGACCCCCATGGCGTGGCAGCCCTCGCCTGTCCCCTCAGCATTGTTTTCAGAACTTCCGCCTGTTCTGCTCCCCGCTCTGTCTCTGGTGAATCCTCTCACCCCCACACCTTTGGCTTGTACCCCAGTTCTTGTATGCATAAATAAATAAGTCTTAAAAAAAAAAAAAGAATCATCCCAAAGGTGGGGTAAACTGGGGAAGTGTGAATCTTAATTGGACCTGGCCCAAAGCACCCGACCTCACGTCCAGACAAGATGAAAGTCACAGCAGTGCTCTGGAGAGAAGAGCACAGTGGGGGAGAGGAAAGGCTCCTGCAGGGAGAGGGACGGCCAGTCAGGGCCAGGCGAAAAGGAGCCGAACTGGACTGACTGTGCTAGACCGTTCACTGCTGCCATCTTTGTCGTCCCCACCACACTGCCACGGGATTATTATCGTTCTCACTTGGGGGGCAGGGAAGCTTGAGCTCAGGGGCAGCAGGTAACCCTCTCCCGGTCATGGAGTGACCCCAAAATAGGAAGGCAGAAGTGCCTGACTCCAAAAGGTATGCAATTCTTACTAATGCAAGCGCTATCCAAGGGAGTACCAATTCATTTGTCAAATCTTCATTCAACGCATCTGCTTTTAAAAACCAAGAAAATCTCCAATTTTGAAAATTAAGCAACACGTTTCTAAATAATGAACTTAGAAAATATTTTTAACTGAATGGTAATGAAAAGACGTATCAAAACTTAAGCATTGGAGCACTCAGAGAAAACTTTATTGAAGCAAATGTATATGTTAGAAAAGAAAAAAACTGACAAAAAACCCATGGTTTAAGCTTCCATTGCAGCAAGTTGAATAAAGAAACCCCAAGGAACTAGAATGAATTTCTATACCTCAACTAATACAGAGTTTAAAAACCAATTTAAAAAGCTAAATATTGGTCCTTTGAATGAGTAGAAAACACCGATATTGCCCAAACAAGACTGATTAAGATAAAGGGAGAAACATAAAACTGCAGTGTCAGGCACGCATGCGCACTGCCAAGCAAAACATGAGCCATGAGGACGAGGAGGGGAAAGGTACGTTTTCAAGTCATTCAGAAAAATCACATTCCAGATTTTATTGTATTTAACCTTACAGGCACTTCCTGGTGGAAAACATAAGGCACGTTAAGTGTTGTGGTTTAGTCCTCAAAACAGAGAGCACATGTGCTTTGGAGTCCCACAGACCCGAGTTCAAAATTATCTTCTTCCTTGAACTAAATAGATGACAATAGACAAATGATAGAATCTCTCTGAACTTCCATTTTCTCACCTAACAAATGGAAGATAATAACATCAACCTCACTGTGCAGCGCACCAAGCACTGGGAAGCTCATACACGACAGGATACTTTTCCCACATGACCATGATCGTGGCATTTATAGTTTGACTATCAATAGATCCTAAAGGGTTCAAAATGGACCCTGACACAAGGCTGTTCATGTGGAATGTGACACTTTCTGGAAAGCTTGGGTGTTTGTCTTCCTTGACTTGACAGTACCAATATGCACCATACTGAAAAATGTGCTCATTTTTATAAAGGAGGCTGCCCACAGATACCCAACGTAAACCCTTCATAGGAGAGTTAAAATGAAATAACTCAGCATAACATTTGCATTATACTATTATCCAATGATTTTTTTCTTGAATATTAGGACATCAAAACAAAAACTATGTTAAGACTGAAGAGAAAGGTCTTCTCCGTTGTTGACATGACAGGGGCTCCCCTCAAATTCTCAGCTCCCGACCAGTGTGTCTCTCAAGTCAGGCATGTCGACGGACAGCAAGAGCACAACGACAGGGCCTCCACTGCTGGCACAGTGGTTGAGCACTGGGCTGCGATCCATCCCAGGCCACCAGCGACGGTCCCACATGGCACTGCAGACCTCTCCTGCCACGCCCGCTGCTCCCCTCAGCAGTGTATTTCATCAGTCTACCTGTTCTGTTCCCCACTCTGACTCTGGTGAATTCTCTCACCTGTCTGAGCTACTGACTGTACCCAGTGCTTGTATAAATAAATAAATAAATCTTTAAAAAAATTTAAAAAAAAGAAAAAAAAAAGATAAATAAATAAAAAACATAAAAAAGAAAATAGAGTTCAGCAATTGAACGGATCATGCCTCTAATAACACCGATCATGTTCCATAATACAGATTTGGACTGTGAACTCCCATAATTTTTCACACGTTGAAGAAATGTCTCCCTGTGACAACAAAACAAAAATGGAGATCAAGAGGCAGTTCAATAAAGGGTCTGGTTCCATTTGTCAATGAAAGGGTCCCCTTTATTAGTAACGAAAGAACCCATGGGCCATGCAACAGCCACCCCCTCTCCTGAAAACACAGAGATAGATCAAGTCAAGAGTGACTGACTTAAAGCATGGCCCAATTTTTTTTTTTTCCATTTCAGTTGTAAAGTGAGAATTAATACTGCGAAGGGGTGTTTGATGAGAGTGCAGGAGATAAAAATGACCTCCTGGCTCTCACACGTCACAGCTCCCAGCTTGAACATCAACTGATGAGCAAGGACAGCAAAAGCAGCACCCTGAGACAAGGGAGCCCAAGTTATCTGTTGATGACCTGCTCTCTTCTCCCCAGGAGCTTCTTGAGGGAATGTGGAGCCAAAGCCTGAGAAGCTGCAGTGTTTCCAGACTCTGGAGAAGGCAGGAGCAGGAGGACCTCACCTCCTCTGCACAGAGCAGCCCCAGGGGGATCTAGCTGGTGAGTGACTCTCATTTCCATAAAAACAAGAAAACAAAGCACCAGGGCCCAGAGGGAGGGGCTGGCAAGTGGAGGAGGGGGTAGAGGGGGAGCAAGGGGGTTCATCACAGGAGAGTCCAGGCTGATTGAGCTGAAGGCAGAGAAGGAGCCTTAGAACAGAGACCAGCACCCACGGGCTTCTGAACACTCGGGTCTGTCTCTAGCCCATTCCAAGGCCAATGGCACAGAGGCTTGAAGCGTGGATCCCCCGTCCTCACCAGTGTGGTGGCCGGGATCCCCCACAAGAATATATTCAGGGAAAGAGGGGTAAAGCATCCACAGAACAGGGAGGGCCCAGTTCCCTGCTCCCCCAGAGAAGGGCGGAGCCCAGCAAGGAGGAGCACTGGAGAGCCTGGGAGAGGGAGGAGCCATCAGGAGGGAGACCTGGAGGAGGCACGTGGAGCAGAGACACAGGCCAAGAAGCCGCCCTTAGGTCTCAGCCTTGGACCGGACCAGGGACTTGGGGGACAGGGAAGGAGACACTTGAAGCGCCAAAGACGTGCAGGACAGACCCGTGGGGAGGCTGACAACGGCAGCCTTTATCTTGACTTGGCTTTGGATTTTGCTGTTTTCCTTCCAGACCTGCCAGCCCCTTCTGCCCCTTCCTATAGGCCCCACCAGGAGAGCCGTAGGCTGGGGGCCGGCTCTCAGGCCTCAGCGTCCCGCTAGGGGCAACCCTGTCTGGCTGGGCTTTTACGCTTGAGGGTCGGGTAACTGCAGGGGTGGCTTTGGAAACTCTATTCTCTCCCTCCTCCTTGTTGCCACTAATTGTTTCAAATTTCCTTTCCATGACAGGTCTTCTGCATGTTTTGTCTTGATAGGGCAGATGGCAGAGCCTATTTAGAGTGGGCAGGTTTGGGGGTTCTGGGTTCCCCTCACCCTGCCCCTAACAGGGGGCAATGGGGCAGATGGGGAAGGATGAGGAGGTGGACATGGGTGGCCATGGGGTGGTTAGAACCCTCATGGGGTACTTAGTTGGGTGTGGAGGGTGCTGGGAAGAGAAGGAGATCAGGATAGGTCATCTCCGATCACCAACAGGGCCAAGAGGGACTCATGCAGCCCTCCTGACTCAGCACAGACAGACAGAAAATGCCTACAAATACCAAGATGCCATTCCTGCCTCGAGAAAAAAAATCAATTACCTGTCCATATCCTCACAAGTAAATACAATGTCAGGTCTTACATATCGTCTTAAATCCAATTCCAGTTGTTTTATGGAGGCGCCTGAGCACGAGTCCCTGGAAAGAAAGAGGCAAGTGTTAAAATGACAAGATCTCCTGGACATTTCTTGAATCTCTTAGTTTCTTCTTCCAGGCAGGCCCTGGGCCAGGCTCTGGGCAAAGAGTGGAGGAGAGGAAGCTTCTAAGAGCTCGCAGCTGTAGCGGAGGGGAACATGGGAACTAGGTGGGTGTCTCTTATGGAGATAAAAGGAAGAGAGAGTGGTTGGGTTGGGTTGAGGGTAGAGTGATTCCCCATCCATCCCTGCCCCAGTCTGTTCTCAGGACATTCTTGTGACTAGGGATTCTTTCATGGCTCAGTTCCTGAAATCACCCTGAGAATACAGGAGTACAAAGGAGCAACAGGTACCTGACATTTACTCCGCAGTCACAGATCACCCAGGCATGTAGTTCGGTAACCTTTAAAGACAAATTAGGGACTTCCGCACATCGAAAAACACTAAGATAAAAGAGACAAAAACCATCGTCAGCCCCAAACCCCAAACAGCACCAGGCATCCTAGTGCCTATCAAAGCCAGCAGGCAGGAGGCCACTGGTTAGAACCTACTCTCTGAACCTGACCCAGAATTTGCATTAGAAACACCCAGTGTACTCATTCAGCTTGACCCTCTGAATAAAGTTCTTACAACAAGAGCTAATTCTGCACATCGATAGTGATTCTTTGCATTTTCTTATTCCAAAAGGGGGCCTTAGGCCACATGAGCTTTCCCTGGAAGCCACTGAGAAGTGCAGCAACAATAGGCTGTGACAGCAGCTGAGTCAGAACCTGCTGCTTCAGAGCCCCCCGGGTGCACAGGCAGAGCTCGAGAAGCACTGCTTTGAAAAACGCTGATGTCCTGCTCTAACCCCAGTCCCAAACTCTTCCCCATGAGTCTGACAATTGTCATTCCTTGTACAAATACTGGACCCCTAATACCAGATGTAAAGTCTTGGAATGTTAATGTTTTCACCCCAAGGTCCACAAAATAGGGGTCAGAAAAATAGATGAATGCCAATGCTTCTTTGTGGAGTTAGATGTCACAGGAGAGAAAGAAAATAAATTTGGGGCACTAGAGGGCAGGGAAGATGGAGAACACAGACTGAAAAGGTCCCTGGGGTGGGAGCAGCTGTAAGAACAGGGGCAGTGGGAGACAGAGACTCTGATGGGGCAGATTCCAGGAGTGAATTCAACGATAATAAGTGCTGATATTCCTCTTACTTCTCCTCTATTGTGGCCAAAAATGCTGGGCATTGTTCGTGCATCACCTTAGATGATCTTCAAATCACCATCACACCCCGGCTCCTAGTCCAGGGGCTGCAGAGGTCAGGCGCCCTACTGGGGTCACATGGCGACCACGATGACCTCTGGAGTCCGACCTGGACCCCTCACAGCACACTGTGACAACACCTGGCCTCAGCAATAGAGGCCGAGCAGCCGCCAATGCGCCTGATGCGCCAACGCACCTGATGTGCTGTCATTTCACAACTGGGTGAGAGTCACACGCTGTGCATGGAGCAGAGAGGAGTGAGATCAGATCTACAGGACAGAGAATTTAGAGACGGTGCAGGTGTCATGGGGTAACCATGCGAACAAAGATGGGTAATGGACAAGATGGAAGATCATGAGAGACATTTAAGTAAATCACAAAGGTCAGGAGGAGGAGGAGACACGCAGCAAGGACCACTTCAGGGCTGATGCAAATAAGCAACTGAACAAAAGTACCAACAAGGAAGGCAAAGGTCTCCATAGAAGACACAAGTTTTACCCTTTATATCCAAACTTTACATTCCCATTTTAAACACAAAATCATATCCTCTTAGAGACGAATTATCCAATAGGCGGTTATGTGACCACAGAAACAGAAATCATGTACCTGGTTTCATTGTAGGCAACAGACTCACTGCTGGACCCATTGAGTAACACATGAACCTGTCCACGGTTGTTTTCTGCGAACTGAAAAATGAAACAGAACCTCACCATCCCTCCGCATGCAAACGTCAGCACCATCCCCAGCACTTCCACCAAAACAGCTCTCAGCTCAGGTGGTGAAAGATGAAATATCCCGCGTGGGTCTAGCTCAGTGAAGTCAGGTCTGTGAGTGTCGAGCCCAGACACTGGAGGAATTTCGCGTCACATGGGGATTCTGGAAGGAGTGGCTCCAATGTGTGTCTGAACAATGAAGGTCAATGTCATTGTTCCCGTGGGAGCTAAATTAGGGTCCAGAAGCCGGAAGTGTAGAGACTGAGGGGAACTCACTGGGGAAGGAAGAGAACACTTCCTGGGACCTGCAGTGTAGACACTGCGCATTTCATTAGTGGGAGCTCAGCGGTGGGCAATTGGGGGAGCCAAGAGGAGGGAGGTAGGAGAGAAGGTGACACTGAGCCCTGGACAGGCCCAAAGAGAAATGCATGGTGACCATTATGAAGCCAGGAGTTGTAGTTCACCGTGCAGCGAACATTTAGCTGGCGGCTGTGCTAGGCCTGGGGGATTCAAAAGGAACAAAACCAAGGCAATGACATGCTTCCCCAGGAGGCTCACCAGGACCCCGGGACAGCTCAGCTCCCTTCCCTGAGTGACCACAGCATCCCACACCCTCCATGTGACCTAACAACATCGTACTGTGGTGAGGAGCTTAACCACCAGCGCAGGGAGCACCTGAGAGTCCGGACCCCCTGGCCTTGACAGTGGGGGGGGGGAAGGAGGGGGCAGCACATGGCAGAGGGGGCGCCCAGGAAACTCTGTCACAGGAGCAGAGGGAGGAAAAGGAAGGAACCAGGAGCCAGAAGGGCAGTTCCCTGTGAGGGAGATGAGGAAGGGCAGGAAGAGGCCATGGAGGGCAACAAACACCAAGACCCGAAGGATGAACAGGATGTCGCCGAGTCACGGAGGCAGCTGCCAACAGAAAGGTCAGGGGGCTTGAGAGAATAGGGGCGATTTGGGGGACCCCTCAGTGGATGCTGAGGTGAAGTGGATAAGTCAGTTCATGGAATTCAGGTTCCTGAATGTTTAGTCACGGGCTTCGCCTTTATTCTGCAAGTGGAAAATCACCGTAGAGAGAAATTGAAACGGATTATGAAACCCCAGCGTGTCTCTTCCCTCCGGGTTGAGGCGCAGAGGCCAGCGGCGGGGGGGTCACCAGTCACAGGGGTAACTCAGAGGAGTGCTGTCAGGGAGCTGAGCAGGCACCCCACAATATAGAAATAGCAAGAGCCCCCACAAAGTAAGTACTGGGGCAATTTTCCCCAAGGTCATGTCTCTTAGAAGCGAGGAGGAAGACGGGGTGCAACCACCAAGCCACACTGTCTCTATGTCAGAGACGGAAGGATGGAGTCTGATGAAAGAAGGTCATGGACACACATCCCTGAGATCTGGCCAAGATAAAGGTGCAGTCCTGGGGGATCTCTCCATGGAGTGTCACTGAGGTTAAGTCACTAGATAGATTTCAGGCCCTAGAACATTCTGTCTGTGTGTGTCTATAGAAACCTGCCTCTCCCTGAGGTTTACTTTTTAGACACAGCAGAGCCTAGAGGCTTATGGGATGACATGGAGCTGAGCGCCAGGCCAGCCGGAGAACACACGTGCAGATGCAGAGGAGGGGCTGCCCAGAGGCCAGGGGCCCCCCACAGAAATGCATATTCCAGTGTCTGAAGGAAAGTCCGTTCATGCAGGAACTGCCTTGGAAGTAGCCCGTTGTAAGGGAACTTCAGTCAAGTCCACATTTCTTTGCCTCTAACGTGCTTTTCAGCCAATAAAACTGCTCCTTTGCTCTCAACCCGTCTCCAAAGCCTCTATAATTTCATCCCCTTTCTGAATTGGGGGGTCAGATTTGCGCCGATCTCCTGTCTCCTTACCAGTTGATACTCCATAAAGATTTTTCCTTTACTCAAAATCCTGGTGTCAAAATAACCTGGTCTCCACACATCAGGCATGTGGTGGTAATGTTATTGGAACCAGCTGCCTTAGTGGACACATGTCCTTTCAGCCTGCTGCCCCAAATCAGTTGGGGCAGCTGCTCCTCAGAGCTCAGTCTCTGCCCTCTGTAATGGACCGAGCAGGTGCGAGCTGTGGGCTGACTGGTGCTAAATGGTACAGTCAGACTTGTGGGTGAAAGAGGAGATAAGCCAGGGTTGGAGGGAGCTAAAGGAACCCCCGGAAAAAGGAGACTCCGACCAGGGCCCCCGAAGAACAAGGAGAGGCGATGCCAGCCCCTGGGGAAGCTGGAGAAGAGAAGATGGTTCCAGCCGCAGAAGAAAGAGGAAAAGCAGCTCCAGCAGCCGCCCTCCGAGGGGGAAGTAGCCGAAGGGCTCTGTCACGCTGGGGCTTGGGCCAGTCCCTGAGGTTTCTGAGAGGAGCCCCAAGGCCCTGTACCTGGTGCCTCCAGACTGTTTGTTGTTGGTACCCGGGTGAGCAGCCGCCCTTGTGGGACCAGCGAGCCCTGTGCTCCCCTGTGCAGCAGCAGGAAGGGCGCAGAGCAGGTTTTCTATGATCCTATGCAGACCAGACGGGCAAAGGAGAGTCCTGGAGCCCTCAGTGGCTTTCTCAAGCTCGTATTGAGCTTTCCCATGTAGTGCAGAAACCAGGTACATGGCAGGCAAGGGTGCCGGGGGCCAGGAGAGAATGAACGGTTTTAATCCATGGAAATGGCCAAGGACTGAGCCTGGAATGTACATGGTCTGTAATGTGGACTCTTAAGATTGTTCAGGGAAAGAAATAGAAAAGAAAAAAGATTGTTCAGAATCCACAATTGCCCAACACCTGGATCAGACAAATAAACAGCCTGAGTGTCCTGGCAGCCAAAGTCAAAGAATGGATGGATGGGCCCAGGGATTCTCTTCAACTGGGGCCTGGACCTTCCATGAAACCCCAAAGCTATATGTGAAAATCTTCTGGCACAGGCTTAGGAATGTCTTTCTTAGGAAAGATTGAATCCTAAACAGTTTTTCTTAAAGGCCCTGTGATCCAAAAAGAAAGAAAACCAACCATTGACCTTTAAGTTCTTGGGTCTCCAGAATTCTGGAATTTCACTGCTGGTGCTTACCCATTTGGCCGCCACTTCCCAGAATACACGTGTAGGATATAAAGGGCAGATTCCATTCTCTTCTCGAAAAAGGCCATACTTCACTTCTAAAAGACACAGTTTACAGAAAGTAAATGAAATGGAAAAGAGTATAATTAAGCTCCATTCTCCCCCAGGTCTTCCAGCTGGTGGAGACATTTTCCCACTGCCAAGGAGGAGGAGGAGAATGGACACATCTCCACCCAATTCAATAGTGCCCCCGAATCCCTTCCAGATCCTTATCTTGCCCTCCACGCACCAAGGGGAGCACAGTGACCAGGTCTGAGTCGTCATGGTGGGAAATGCCAGCAAAAGCTCACCTGACAGAGCAGCCCCAGGCTCATCCCACTTCCAGGAAGAATTAGGGGTGAAACTAGGCCCCTGGGAGCCTCTGGGGCCTGCTGCTCTGACTCCTGCCAACACTCTCTTGTTGACAGCTCTCCTCCCTCTCCCCACACCCTTAGGTTCCAGACCCCTTGAGTAAACTGTCTACACCCCTCCCCATCAAGACGAGCGCCACCTTAGGGGAGCAGCAACAGAGAACATGAACAGTTTCTGTGTTTCCTAGCCTAAGGATATTTGCATGAATGACAAACATTTCCCTTTATGGATGTATAAAGGACAAATAAAGTCATAATCTATTTAGATTGTAAAACCTGATGACTTGATATCTGTATATATTGTGAGAAGATCCCCCATCAAGTTGACTAGCACATGCATCACCTAAAATGAATGTTTCTGTTTTCATGAGAACATCTAAGACCTTCTCCCTTTGCCAATTTCAATCACATAACACAGTGTTATCAAGTGTCATCACCTCGCTGCACACAGACGCTCAGACCTTCTTTATCCTGTAACGCAGAGTTGGTTCCCTTTCACCACCCCTTCCCTAGCCCCTCCACCTTCCAGCCCCTGCTGCGTTTTGACTCTGTTTCTACTAATTTAACCTTTTTATTTTGTCAGACTTCACATGTGATGTCATGCAGTGTTTATCTTTCTCTGTCTGTCTTGTTTCATTAGCATGATGCCCTCCAAGCTGACACACCCTGTTACGGAGGACAGAATTTCCTTCCTTTACTGCTAAATAATGGTATAATATATAATAATAATATATTTACATTTCCATTTTTCCACTGCATTTGACTGTACACTTTTAATTGTGTTAGTCCTAAGATTAGAAGGATGAACAGAAGTTCTCACCTTCAGTGATGACATGATATAGTACTGAATCCTAGAGCAAGTCAGGGATCATGAGGCAGCCTCAGGACAGTGCAGGGACTTCAGGAGAGCTAAGGAAGGCTCCAAGGATAAGGACAAATTCCAAACAAATTCCAAAGGGGACAAATCAAACACCCCAGGACTAAGGTCAACAGGACATTCCAAATTGAGGACAATAAAGAGGAAAGAGAAGGTCTGGGACACAGAGACTTAGCTCTGGGCACAGAGACATTGAGGCAGTGAGGAGACCACCCAGAACTAACCACTCACAAAGACCCTGGTGGAGCTTTGGAATCATCAGGGAAAGAAGGTGCATATTCCCTGAGACAGGCCTCCACTGTGGCTTCCTTGCCCCTCCCTGGCCTGGTTTCATGGGCTGGGAGTCCCACTTCATTTCTGTTCCTTTTCTCCTCAATAACCTTTCTCTTTCTCTAAACAAACCTGCCTCTTCTCGTTTGCTGGCCTGAGCGTCTGTGAAGTTCCTGCTGCGGCTTCGTGAGACACCAGCCCATGGTGGTCTAGTGGCCGGGACTCAGCGCTGCCCCTGCAGCCTGGGATCCATTCCTGGCTGGGAGACTAGGCCTGAAAACCTACCATTCCGGTATCAGTATCCTCAAATAAACCAGAGAAACTTGGGTTGGGGAGGCCCGCAGCATACTAGGGGAGGCTGGTGTGGCCCTCAGTAAGGTTTCTTGAGGAGAAAACACCTTCTCATATTAAGAAGCTCTGGGTCTTTCTGGGCAAGATACAGCGACTTCTGAAAAATGGCAGAGACCTAAGGTTTCCCAGCCCCCTTGTTCTCGGGATGTGGTCTTGGTCCCAGAGTTCCTGCTGGTCAAGCTACAATGTGGAGTCAGGCCGGGGGCCCCTCACCAGGACAAAAGCCTTGGGATGAGGAACATACTGGAAATCCAGCATCTGCTGAACACAGCAGCGGACATTATGGCCAGGTGAGCACAACCAGCTCGACCACCTGGACGGGAAGTCAAGGGTCACAGGGTCTAGAGAGAGGGAGGTTTGATCAGCAGCTCAAATGGAGCCCTAGTCACTGCTCCTCCCCAGTCATGCCAGACATTTCTGCATCCCCAATCCACCTCCCCACCACCCCATTCCTCCATGGACCTGCCCACCTTCCCTGAAATTCATACCCAATAAATGTGAGGTGGTTTGGGGGGCATGGGCTGCACCTCCAGAGGTGTGAGCCGCTCTTCGTGTCTCTCTCTCTCCTGGGACTCTGAGTTGTCTTTCCTCCTTCCTGCGCCTCTCCCAGCACTGCTGCCCTGCAAGGTGACAGACCCACAGGGGCCCCCTCCAGCTCCCCTCCACCCCTACCCCATATCTCTAGCTGCCCTGTGGAAGGAGGACTTCATCTGGGTCCCGCCCTGGTCCTCACCCTGCTGTAGAATTCTTTCGCCCTAAACGCTGTCCTTACAGAAAACAAAACCCCAGCAATTCAGAAGCCGGCTATGTCTGTCCTCCCAGAGCAGAGGCTCAAGGAGCAGGGGCACCCCAAAGCCCGAAGTCAATTTTTCTAGAAAACATTCGAGGGCCATCCCTGGTGGTTCAAGGGGTTAAGACGCAACCGGTGCAGCTGTCAGCAGCTGCTTCAGCGCCAGTTTGATCCCCAGTCAGGGAACTTCCCACGTGGCCCAGCAGACCTCTCCTGACTCGCCCGCTGCTCCCCTCAGCAGTGTATTTTGGTCAGTCTCCCTGTTCTGTTCCCCACTCTGTCTCTGGTGAATCTTCTCAGCCCCCACACTTCTGGCCTGTACCCCAGTTCTTGTATGATAAACAAATGAATCTTAAAAAAAAAATTCAAGGGCCAAAGCAGGCAACGCTCCACCAGCCTGAGGTGTCCGTAAAGGGTAAGTGGTATTGGCAGGGTCCCTGGGACACCTTCCAGCACATGTTTTGGTGCCCCTGCCTGAGTCAGGGCTTCTTCACCCTGCAATCTGCCCAGTTAGTGCCTCACCAGAAGAGCCTTTGTTTCCACACCACATGAGGTTATCAGCAATATGGCTCACGAGCATGTGCTCCTGGGTGAGCAGCTTCCCTCCGGCCTTCATGTACTGTTCCTTCAGTTCTTGTGTTTTGCTCCATAAAAGGACCTAAGAAAGAATAAACAAACTGCCCATTGAGATCCAAGTAGTAAATTTTTAAAATATACATTATTGTTTTATTTTATTTATATATATTTTACATCATTGTTCTTTTTGTACATGTCTGCTTTCTCCTCTCAGGTGTAGACCCCGTAAAACTCCCACCACTAAGTCACCCGTGCACCCTCACCATAGTCCCTTGTGCTCCTCCCTCCCCTGCTAAAAATACACGTTTTTTAAATGAAAGAAAAGAATGGACGTTTTCAGAGTAAATCCTATATGGCACACACATGTGTGTTCTGGGTCATTTGTGAAATGAACTCATTATTCTGCTCATACTCAGAAAATCTTGTAGCAAATCTGAGATGGGAACCATCTGGAGGAGGCATCAGGAGATTCAGAGTTCCTGAAGGATCTGCAAGCCCTTTTGTCTACCGGCTATTTCTGGGAGATGAGCTCCTTGATGCTTAGAGGTCCAGCCTCTCTGTTTCTTTCCCCAGTCTGCCCTCTTCACACACACAAGAAATGAACAAATGCAGCGAGTTTTCTTCAAGGTCCCTTGCAAACACCCGGGAAGTCTAATTTCAGAGTAGTCGTCTCCTCCAGGGACCTGTGGGTTCTGAAGAGCAGGCAGGGGAGGGTGGGCTGGGAAGCCCAGGCCGGGAGTCCCACGGCCTTAAGAAGCGTCACCACTCACCGTCTGCCTGGCCTTGGACACCAGAGTATCGCTAACCTCACCTTCCCCAAATGGAAATGGGCAACAATGATCAATGTACAGAACCCCTGGGAGGCCGGAATCAAAGGGACAATGCAAAGAAATCACAGCCTGGTCATTCAACCCCCCTCACTCCCACCTGCTGTCTTGGGCCCAGGGACTCTGCAATAGCTCCAGCTTCTAACGGTGGACGGGGCTGAAGATTTGGGGCTCACTGAATTTCCCCCTTAAAGTGCTGAATTGTCATATGGACTAACGTAGTGATGATCAGTCTGATGTAATAGACATGATATGTGCTGACACTGTGGAGGCCTGACTGATGGAAAGTTGAGGTAGAGCAACTACAGGTATCCATTAAAGGAACCACTTTTCATGAAGACATTGATAAACAGATGCAAAAATCCAGGGTAGATAAAGCCCTAGCTGTGCAGAGAGGTCCCTGCTCAGTCAAAAATTACCAGTGGGTTCTGATAAAATGCCTCAGAAATGGCATAAATATAGGCATGAAATCTGAGGCAGGGTGAGATGCTGTGGACTCCACATACACAGGCCTAAGTCTCCCCCAGGCACTGCTCAGAGACACAAATACTCTTGCTTTGAGCATGGCCTTCATCTCCCCATAGGAGGGGGATGCCAGGGGTTCTCTGGACCAGGGACCATCCATTCTGCATCACCTGTCTCTCAAACTTTGCCAAGAGGTGAGTTACTTCCCCCTTTGGCTGTACATTCAGTGGTACCCTCACCTCATTATAATTCACATCCCCCCAGCAGATTCATACTGCGGTTATGTGCCTTTGACTTGAGAAGAGGAAGCCTTGGCTTCTAGGTCTGGAAGTGAGCGCTCCAGAGACCCCAAACCTGATGAACATGACTTTAGGGGAGATGTGCTCTTTCCCAGTATGGTCAGTGCATGACAGCCTAGAGCACTCTGGTGCCAGGTTTCAGGCCTTTAACATTTCAACTGGTCATTTTCAAGGCCCTCACTAGTCACCTAAACTCACTTCAGTTTTCTCTGGGGTGAAAAGGGAATGTTGGCCTCTGACCTACATGCTCCACAGGGTGAGTGTGAAGATCTAACAGGATAAGGGTGAAGAGTCCTTAGTGAAGTAACACAGGCCTCCACACATGCAAACAGACATTGTGGTTGTCATCACCATCACCCTCAGAGGTCAGGGGAGGTGCTGTAATTCCAGAAAGTTGTGTTAATTTGATTTTATTTTCATGGGGTTGAGTTGGATCCATGGTCACTTTGTTTTGTCCAATTTCTGGCTTTTTTAGTCTCCTTTCTTCTCTCCATGTCCCTATTTCTCTCACTTTGCTCCAGATGTCCTCAATCCTAATGATCCCTTGGTCCAAGAGCCCCACAAACCTGCATTCCAGCCAATGTAAAGGTGCCTATATTCTTATGTCCAGATGTTTCCTTTTTCCTCATCATAGTCAAAATGTGTCCTGTGACCTTGTACTTCTGGCTTTTATCCTCGGTTTTGAAATCAATGACCCTGATTACCTTGTCTGTAGGTATTTCTTGATTCACCAGCTCCATCAGTGGTAGATAGTCTTCTGCTGTAATGTAGCAAGGGTCCTTAGAAGCAACTGCATTCGTGAATGCCTCTGCTATCTTGTTGCAGTCTTTATCTAATCTGTGAGATGAAACACAGACAATAAAACAAGAGTAATTAGATTTCAAACTTATTTTTGTTTTTTAAGTTTATTTTAAAATGAGGTCATCTTTGGATACCCCCACCATAGTGTACCCACCACCAAATCACCCAGAGTCCATTGTGCTCCCCTCCTGTTTAATCTCATCTCCCTGCCTCTCCCTATCTGGCTGCTTCAGTTGTAGAGTCAGCTTTCAAGCTTAGTTTTTAAGCTTTTCTTTTTTTTTTTTTTTAAAGATTTATTTATTTATTTATTTATACAAGCACTGGGTACAGTCAGAAGCACGGGAGGGTGAGAGAATTTACCAGAGCCAGAGCGGGGAGCAGCGCAGGCAGAAGGACCGAAGTACACTGCTGAGGGGAGCAGCGGGCGGCAGGAGAGGTCTGCGCGCCACATGGGACCCTCCTCCGGTGGCCGGGGAGCAGCTGGGGATCGAACCGGCACCACAGAGGCCGCGGGCAGCTTCGCAACCCAGCGCTCAACCACTGCGCCACCGGGGAGGCCCTAAAGCTTTTCTTTATCTAACATTTAGTTTAGTTTCTCTCTATTCCACATATTAGTGACACCACCCAATATTTATCTTTCTCCTTGTGACTTGTTTCATTTAGCATTACCCCTTCTAGCTCTACCCATGTTGCCGCAAATCACATGAGTTTATGCTTTTTGATCATTGAGTAATATTCCACTGTGTGTATGTAACACATCCTCTTGATCCACTCATCTGTTTGGGGCACTTAAGTTTTTTTTATAATTTAACTATAGTAAATAGTACTTCAGTAAAATGGGAAAGCAATTTTTTTTTTAATTAGTGCTTTTGAATTTTCTTGGTAGATGCTGAGGTGTGGAATAACTGGGTTGTACAGCAGGTCCACAATTAATCTTTGAGACCTCTCCATACTGCCGCGGACCAGAGCAGCGGCGGGTGATCGAGACAATCTCAGGGCATGAGCGAGAGCAGCACAAGGTGGTCGAAGGATTCGGGCGAGAGAAAAGAAATGACACACAGACACACTCGAGGATGAGTGAAAATCTGAGTGTATTTTGCTGAAATCAACCTTCTCTTTTTATACATTTTTCTTGGACAGTACATAAGATTATTTTTCACAGTTTGTGGTTAATCAGACATCAAATCATTATGTGCAGTGAAACATAGCAAAACAATACACACCATATTTCAGATTATATCTACCAAAATTCCAGTCAAGTACAATTATAAATCAAGTACATTTTGTAATCTCTTTAAGGAGGGTCTTTCTAGTATAAAACTACATAATTTCTATTTTAATCATATTTCATCTATATTCCAAAACAATGATATTACATTACTATTACTATTTATTATTGATTTTTGTTGTTATTAACTGCTACTGTAAAAGCATAGCAACTATCATTCTTGGTTACATACTTAATCATTTCTTAAAAGCAACCAAACCAGTTTATGGTATGCAGCGGGCAGTGAAACACAAAACAATGGAACTGAAAATTAAAAATTAAAGGTATGTGTTTCAGTAAATCCAGGCAGTGTTTGCTGGTTGCTAATGGCACTGATTAACCTCAGCCATTTTTCTGTGCCACGAAAAGGAGGATTTTTACTGTGAGTATAATGCTTAGAATAAGCCTTGCTTTAATGTAAACGCCAAAGTTTATCATGATAAATCCCCTCGGGGACTGCACCTGTCTTAGGAGGAGTCGCAGACATACAGTCTGCCCCCAATCTTACCCTTCATTGACTGTCCAGTCCAGCGCACAGGGGAAGGGGGTCTTATTTTGCTCTTAGTGTCAGAGCAAAAGCCACCCTCGTATATCATGTCTAGTGGCGCTCAGCGGGAGAGGCTGCCGCACCATACTGCTTTCCACAAGGGCTGGACTAGTTTACATTCCCACCAGCAGTGAAGGAGAGTTCCTGTTCTCCATATCCTCGCCAGCACTTGTTGTCAAACATATTTCTGGAGCATAATTACCCAGAAAATCACATTTAGGAAGCATTGACTAGAACCTGTTACTTAATATATATCATCTTCTCTAATCTACACAACACTTTGATGTGAGGAACATTTCTCTCCTGACCCTATAAGGCCTCTGTCCTTGTGGAGCTCACTCTCTGTATAACCAGATAGTAAACAAATGAACAAATACGGGAACAAAATAAGTACAGATTGTGGTAATAAACAAGCAGGAAATGGATGGAGGGGAACAAGAGGAGAAGACTGGATCAATGACCACCTTAGGGAGAGGGTCAGGAAGGGTCTCCCAGAGAGGTCTACGCTGAGACGGTGATGAGAAGGGGGCACCACACAGCAGGGGAGGCTGTGCAAAGGCCCTGAAACAGAAAAGAACTTGCCAATTCCGAGAAACTGAGAGGCAGAAGGTCTAGGAGCAGTTTGGGGAAGACTTGACCTATTATATTAATAGGAATGTTTCATGGAAAGCCGGAGTCTTAGTCCTCTAGAGCTTCCCCTTTGTCTCAGTGACAATGAGTCCAGACTGAGCGCAGATATTAGGGTTCAAGATCAGGGGCACGTCCTTTCTCTTTCTACCACTCTGCGCCTCCCCACAGACTCACCTATTCTCCAGTGAGTCATTCCCTCCTGTTCATTTCTCACCTCTTCTCTCCCCCTCTGACCTGCCAGGTAGGTTGTCTCCAGGTGTCCAGAGATTTTGCCTTTTCTGATTGTTCTGCTGAGCCCAGTCCAAAGGAGGGAAAAGACAGAGGAGGTAGACCAGTAATCCCGATAAGTGCCAGTGTGGTCTGGGCCAGGGTGGCAGCAGTGCCCATGGTGAGAAGTGATGGAAGAGGAAGGGACTATACCAAGGGCTTCACTTGTCCTGTTTAATCTCACACTAGCTTTTGGGGGTTCGGGGAGGGGCAACCTGCCATATCCCTGATTTGGAGCTATAGAAGCTCAGAGAGCAACTTGCCCAAAGCCAACTATGTGAGCAGCAGAGCAGCCTCACACTGCTCACTGCTGAACAATGGTGCCCCCTGCAGGAGGTGTAGAATCATGGCACACTCCCCAGAGGGAGACAGTCCCTACCAGCATGAGGTCCTGAGCCCTGCAGAGGGGCTGTCTCTGCCCCAGAAAGGTGAAGACCAGATGTAAGGTGAGTGAATGAGTCCGGCTTTCAACCGCTGGCCTCTGTGGCTGTCACCTGCGGCCTTGGATGCAGGAGGCGCTTGGGAGCGTGCGCATGGGCACATGTGCCTGATGGTGGACACCTGGAGCATATGTGGGCCGGCGTAAGTGTGCACACCTGGGCATGGAGCTGAGGATTTAAGTGCGGTGTCCTTCAGAGATAGGAGAACGTCTAAGGAGGGGCGGCTACAGCGGAGCAGCTACAAGAGGAAGAGACCACAGAGAAGCCAGAGAGAGTCCACAGAGAGAATAAAAATTCACTGGGGGCTGGAAGCCCTGCCGGCCTCTTGGACCCCCAAACCCCCAGCCTTCCTGCCTTGCCAGCCTTCATCCTTGCCCCCAACAATGGGCAAAGAAAGAGCATTAAAGCCTGAAAAGTCATTGAGGGCTCCAGGACCCTCCTTTATCCATGTCCCTAAATCCACGGAGATCCGCCCGGTGCCTTGCGGGCGCTACCCCTAAAGAGGACACCCCTGTTCCCAGTGATGGGTAAGTGACTGGGCTAGAGGGGGGAGGGAAGGAAGGTAAAAGTCTTACACAAAGAGGGAAAACTAGCCATATTTTGGTGGTTAAATCCATTTTATACTTGTCAGGCTACTTCAGGCTTCATAACTCTGTGCTGTCTCCACTCTCTAATCCACACTCGTCCTGCAAATAACACACACATCAGGTCCCCATCGTGCAGCACCATCATCCTCCTAATATACTGTCCCTCTGGCCTGACCCCCCAGGAAAGCTCTCACACTCTATGTCCACACCCCTAAAAGTACTTAGATATTGAGGGGTCACTCGTCCTTTTTCCATGAATTTTCTTGCTGTCAAGTCCTGTGGACAGATTGTCTTGGCTCACAGAAAACACGCAGGTTCTTTGAGCCTTTATTCAAATGGAGCTGCTGGGCCTGCACTGAAGGCAGGACTGCCACCTCCTGGAGAGATGCGCAGCTGCGAGGTTCCATGTGGGTTGCCAAGGAGGGTCTTAGAAGACTGTTCCAGACTCTCAGAGCCATGAATTTATTAATCCAGCAAATATCTATTGAACATCTAATATAGGCTAGACACATTGTGGAGTATGTAAGATATAGCAGTGAGCGAAATTAGCTTCTCTCTCTTGTGTGACTCTACATTCTACCACAACAAGATTGACTACAGACATAATGAATTAGTGGTTACAGAGAACCCTAGAATTGTACAAGATCTATGGGAAGAAGGAAAAGATTGAAATGGGAGAGAAGGAGAGAGATCGCAGCATTAAACAGGGTGGAGAGTAGATGACCTTCGAGCAACAAATTGAAGGAAATAGAGAGTTGGTCACACAGACCTGCTAGGGAACAGCATTCTAAGCAGAGGGAACAGCATCACAAAGGATCTACCCATGTTACATGTGATATGTTCATAACTAACAAGGAAGTCAGTGTGGATGAACCAGGTGAGCAAAAGCAAGGAAATCAGATACTGTTAGACAGAGCAGAAATTCCTAATATGACAGAAAGAATTTGGCTTCTAGTCATGGTGAACAAGAAATCAATACAGGAAACTGGCAGGTCACAAAATCCATATACAAGAATTGGTTTTATTCCAATAAAACCAATTGGAATGCACTAGAAGAGAAATTTTAAAATCAATCCCATACTATTGCATCAAAAAGAATTAAACATTTAGTAATAAGCTTGACACAGGAGGCGATGGGTGTGTACAATAAAAATTGTAAGACACCACTGTGTCCTCTCCTCACAGGGGGCTGAAAATGTGCAAAAAGAATCAACTTTCAAATTCCTACTACACTGTGGACCACCCGCACACTGAGCACCCCCTCCCCCAGCCTGTTGCCCCTTTGGAAGCTCTTTCCAAGGGTCTTCCCTCCAAAGGGGAAATGAGGAAGCAGAGCAGCTATCATGGTCATTTGATAAAGAACAAAAGCTTTTTCCAGGTAAGCAGCAGCACCTCTGGGAATTGTGAGCAATGAGCCCAGAACAAGAGGTGTGGGCAGGACTCAGCAGGGAAAGCTCTGACCTCTCCAAGAACAAACTGTGAGACAAAGCACTAACCCAGAAAGAAGCAGCATCCTCCTTTTCCCCAACCCTCTGACCTCTGCCCTCTCTCCTTCAGCCATCTGATGTGCTCCTAGAGCTCCCTCTTTCTAGAAGATTCTGTCCCAGATTTCCATTCTCCCATTCTGTCCTGATAGCACCAGGATCCCCATGCTGGGCCTCTCTGCACAGATCCCCACTCCATCCTTCCCTCCCCTGACAACCCAGCCTTGGGGTCTGACTTGCGATATTCAACCACAGCAGCACCCAGGTCCCCCGTCCTGAGCCCTGGCCAACTATCCCTTCGCCTTCCACGCTGGACCAGGGGCTTTGGAGCCTCTCTGGCCACCGGGCTCTGTCTTATGACCCCAGAATAGTGGTGGAATTGAAGGAAGCGTCGTCACCATGGTAGGAAAATGCAGGACCCAGCTGAGGCCGCCGAGCGATGCACTAATGAAGATCAAGGGCTAACCCAGAATACAGACATTGATGGGGTCGTTCTGTCCCCCCAAAGAGAAAACATGCCAGACCTCTGCCCTGTGCAGTCACAGTCACCCTCATGCTCTGTGTGCTGACAAAGTTCCGGATGTGGGTGGGAGGACTTGAGGCTCAGACCCTCTCACCAGCGGGATGGTCCCCAAGGCCCCATGATGCTTCTGAACTCTGTCCTCTCTCCCTCAGCCATCTGATGTGCTCCCAGAGCTCCCTCTTTCTAGAAGGTTCTATGCCCAGATAGGTTTTGGGCCATCCATGGGCTGATCTTCCCTCAGCAGCAGGGTCGTCTCCATCCCCTGGGCTTCATTCCAGGATAACACACTCTTCAGAACACCCTGGTGCTGACGATCTATCCTAAAGGGAAATCCTCAAAGGGCCCTTCTGTCATGAAGTCCTCCTGGTCCTGCCCCAGCAGGTGGCGATTTCCTCCTCTGACCCTCAGTCCAGCCCCGCACAGGCACAGTCAATGTTATTCAGTATTTGTATGGGTTTGCTGTTTGGAAACACAGGTTTTACTGAGAAGAGTGAATAAAATACCCATCATTAAAATGAGAGGCCTGCGGAAGTGCAAATGAAGAGCTGATCCATGAGAAATCTTGCTACACATTTTGAAGAGAGAGAACAAACGAAGTTGTGAAAAGACAATGAAAATATGTGTATCCTGTTGAACGATGTCTGGGACACAGCGTTACCAAAAAAATGGACATTTCCCATACTTACTACATATCTCAGGATTATTCCCCTTCATCCTTACAATGTCCCCTAGAGTGGGGCTGTCACCAACACTTGTGTTTTACAGTTGAGAATCCTGTGGGGAAAGTAACTTGCCGAAAGTGACACTTTGACAGAGCCAAGATTCAAGGTCAGCACACCAGCCACAGAGAAAGTGAACCTGATTCCTGGAGGTCTTGGACTCCCCATAATATTCAGAGCACCCCCTTGTGCGCAAGGATCTCCGACATGGCGGGCACATTGGGTGCTGACCCATCTCAGAGCCCACAACAGAGGCTCAGCTGCTAACACTACACATGCAGCTGCGCATCCGCTGACCGCGTGGCAGGGACACAGGTGTTCCCTGTGTTCATTACTGTTTCCTCCGAACAGGCATCCTGACACCATCACAGCGCCCCGCGGTTCCTGAGGCGCCCACGCGCCCCGTGGGTGCTCCCCTCACAGCCCGTGCGAGCTGCCCAGGATGAACGGACAACACACACTGTGAGCTGCTGACCTCAGGTGAGAGTGGAGGGGCCACTCCTTGACACGGGGTCTGGGTGCCTGTGGCTCCATCCACAGCGGGGGGCTCTCTCCTGAGAGGGAGGGAATCCCTGGGGAGCTCAAGCTGGGGCTCCAGGCTGAGGAGGCCCAGAGGAGGGGAGGGGCTGGTGATGGCAGTTTCTAGAAATGACTCCTGGAGAACTGGTCTTCGCAGCCTCTTGAGCATTTTGAACTAGAGGCATTTCTCTCCCGCACACGCTTTGCTCCCCCCACTCCCTTTACTTCACTGTTACATTGGGTGACATTTGCTTTAACAGATACTCTGAAGATGACAGAGGGAGGAAGGAATAGTCCTCCCTCCACGGAGTCCTCAGTTACCTGCAAGTAAACACCTGTGAGGACTGGACACTCTGGAGGCCCACAAGGGGCAGGTAAGACCTCTGGGGTCTGTTGCAACAGAGAAACCCCCCAGGAGCTTTCACTCCCTGCTTGTGCCCTGCCAGCACCACCTCAAAAAGGAGTTCTGGGGGGAGACAAGCCCTGGGAAGGGAAACCAGCCCAGCGGGAGGGTCTCTGGGGCAGATGAGCAGCTCTCTGAGGGGGTCATGAGGAACCCTCTAGAGGTTTCCTGGAGCCACATGGTGCTGCTCCTTCCCAGAGTCCGTCCAGGTTCTGGGGCTGATGTCTCCAGTGTCCCTGTTTCCTGGTCACAGATTTCGGGGCGCCCACCGTGGGGTGGCTGGTTTGTGTTCCTGAGGAAACCCCCTCCGTGATCCAGCGCCCCTGGCCCCCCCCACCGCACCCCCGCGCCCCGCCCCGGGTCCCCTGCGCCCTCCCTGCGCTTTCAGGCGGGCCCGGGTGGCACCGGGGGGCGCTTGCTCACCCCCCTGAGACGCGAGCCCCGCGGCCCCTCCCTGAGACGCGCCCGCAGCGGGGTCGGAGCCCGGGGGTGCGGGGGACCCGCGGGGGCTGCTCCCGGCCGGCCCCGAGGTGGGTCCCGCGGGGGCGGCGGCTGCGCGCGGGGCCGGCGCGGGGGCTTCCCGGGGGGCGGGGTCCTCAGCCCGGACCCCGCTCTGCCCGCCCGGCCCGGCCCGGCCTCTCCCCGGACCCCGGACACAAAATACTTCGTTTTACTCAGTCCACACCGCGCCTGCGCGCGAGCGCAGTGGTGCCCAGCGGTGCCACCTACCTCAGGGGAGCATCCGGGGGAGGGGAGTAGAGGGAGCATCGCCGCCGGACCTCATCATAGAAACTCCGCCGCCTGAAACAATAGTACCAGAGTAACACGGCCGCCGCCACGACGACGATCACCCCTGCAGAGACTCCCGCGCAGACACGCTTCACAGTGCTGGCCTTGGGGACCCCGCGGGGGGGGGTGGGGGGGAGGTGCGGCCAAGCTGCAGGAGAGGCTGCGGAGGGAGGAGCGGACAGGAGAGTTGCCTGTGGGACAGCCCGGGGGCGACTACACTGCACTTCTGCGCTGCTCCCCCGCCTTTTCTAGGGTCACTTCCCCTCTCTGCCCCCACCTCCCAGCCCTCGGCTTCTGGACCAACACGGATGTCAGGAATTAATAGAGTTGGGGACCAACAGGATGCCCCCAAGACCCCAAAATGCTTCTGACCTCTGTCCTCTCTCCCTCAGCCATCTGATGTGCGATCAGAGCTCCCTCTTTCTAGAAGGTTCTATGCCCAGATAGGTTTTGGGCCATCCAGGGGCTGATCTTCCCTCAGCAGCAGGGTCGTCTCCATCCCCTGGGCTTCATTCCAGGATAACACACTCTTCAGAACACCCTGGTGCTGACGATCTATCCTAAAGGGAAATCCTCAAAGGGCCCTTCTGTCATGAAGTCCTCCTGGTCCTGCCCCAGCAGGTGGCGATTTCCTCCTCTGAGACCCTCAGCCCAGCCCCGCATAGGCACAGTCCGTGTTTACTCTGTGCACGTGAAGAGCTGGTCCAGGAGTAATCTTGCCAGACATTTTTAGAGAGAGAACAAGAGAAGTTGTGAAAGGACAATAAAAAAATCTCTGTCTGTTGAAAGATGTCTGGGACACAGCACTCCAAGAAAACGGACATTTTCCAAACTACATATCTCAGGATTGTTCCCCGTAATCCTTGCAATTCCCCTTGGAGTGGGGCTGTCACCAACACTTCTCTTTTACAGCTGAGAATACCGTGGAGAGAATAACTTGCCAAAACTCACACTTTGACAGAGCCAAGGTTTAAGGTCCAGCAAACTACCCACAGATAAAGTGAACCTGATCCCCTGGAAGCCGTTGACTCAGCTTAATTATTAACAGCACCCCCTTCTGCACAAGAATCTCGGACATGGTGGGTACTGTAATTAAACATTTCATTACTGTTTCATCTGAACAGGCATCATGACACCATCACAGCACCCTGTGGTTCCTGAGGCGCCCGCGCGCCCCGTGGGTGCTCCCCTCACAGCCCGTGCGAGCTGCCCAGGATGAACGGACAACACACACTGTGAGCTGCTGACCTCAGGTGAGAGTGGAGGGGCCGCTCCTTGACACGGGGTCTGGTGCATGTGGCTCCATCCACAGCTGGGGGCTCTCTCCTGAGAGGGAGGAATCCCTGGGGAGCTCAAGCTGTGGCTCCAGGCTGAGGAGGCCCAGAGGAGGGGAGGGGCTGGTGATGGCAGTTTCTAGAAATGAGTCCTGGAGAACTGGTCTTCGCAGCCTCTTGAGCATTTTGAACTAGAGGCATTTCTCTCCCGCACACGCTTTGCTCCCCCCACTCCCTTTACTTCACTGTTACATTGGGTGACACGGGATGTAATGGAGACTCTGAAGATGACAGGAGGAACACCCCACCCTGCTTCCTCCCTCCACGGAGTCCTCAGTTACCTGCAAGTAAACACCTGTGAGGACTGGACACTCTGGAGGCCCACAAGGGGCAGGTAAGACCTCTGGGGTCTGTTGCAACAGAGAAACCCCCCAGGAGCTTCCACTCCCTGCTTGTTCCCTGCCAGCACCACCTCGAAAAGGGGTTCTGGGGGGAGACAAGCCCTGGGAAGGGAAACCAGCCCAGCGGGAGGGTCTCTGGGGGCAGATGAGCAGCTCGCTGAGGGGGTCATGAGGAACCCTCTGGAGGTTTCCTGGAGCCACATGGTGCTGCTCCTTCCCAGGGTCTGTCCAGGTTCTGGGGCTGATGTCTCAAGTGTCCCTGTTTCCCGGTTACAGATTTCGGGGCGCCCAACCGTGGGGTTGCTGGTTTGTGTTCCTGAGGAAAACCCCCCCCTCCGCGATCCAGCGCCCCTGGCCCCCCCACACCGCACCCCCGCGCCCCGCCCCGGGTCCCCTGCGCCCTCCCTGCGCTTCCAGGCGGGCCCGGCAGGCACCGGGGGGCGCTTGCTCACCCCCCTGAGACGTGAGCCCCGCGGCCCCGCCCCGAGACGCGCCCGCAGCGGGGTCGGAGCCCGGGGGTGCGGGGGACCCGCGGGGGCTGCTCCCGGCCCGGCGGGTCCCGCGGGGGCGGCTGCTGCGCGCGGGGCCGGCGCAGGGGCTTCCCGGGGCGCGCGGGGTCCTCAGCCTGGACCCCGCTCTGCCCGCCCGGCCCGGCCCGGCTTCTCCCCGGACCCCGGACACAAAATACTTGGCTTCGGGCAATTCACATCTCCTGCCCACGAGCCAGCCCAGCGCTGCCAAGTGGTGCCACCTACCTCAGCTGGGCATTTGCAGGCGGGGAGTAGTTGGAACATTCCTCCTGGATGCGCTTGGAAAATTTGTCACAAGCGCTCTCCTTCCACAATGAGCACCAGATTATTGTGCACACCCCGATGATCAGCAGGATGCAGACATGCACGCAGGGGCCTTTCTCAGCGTCCTCTGCCATGGAGCCCGGCCTGCATGGAAGCTGAAGCTGAAGGAGAGGCAGCAGGAGGGCTGAGAGGACTCAAGAAAGACGGCCTGGTGTTCAGAGTAAACCGCACTTCCGCTCTCTTACTTGCCGGCCTTTTCTAGCTTTCGTTTTCCATCCCCTGCCCCCACCCTCCCAGCCCCAGGCTGCTGGACCAGCACAGGTGTCAGGGACTTAACAGAGCTGACAACACCCGCTGCCTCCAACTCCCAAGCAGAGGGACCCCGATGCCCCCCAGGGAGAAGGAAACACCTTCACCCCAGATATCAGCCCCCACACGCCCCCTGCCCGGGACCCCAGGGCCCTTGTGCTGCCCCCACAGCCTGGGCTGGACTGCAAGGGCGGCCTCTGCACCTCTGCCCTAGCAAAGGCTCTACCTGCCCAGGAAAGGGCTACAGCCCCTGTCAGGGGCCAGTGCCTCTCAGCACCCCAGAAAGACTCCCCCTAACCTTCCCCTTCCCTCAAGTGGCCTCAGACCCCAGAACAGGGTGCAAAACCAGCTGGACCTCCCACTGCCTGGGTGACTGGAGCTAGTTACTTGGCCTCTGGGCTTAGGTGTGAATCAGGTAACAGCAGCACTTCTTACATCAGGTCACCACAAGGACAAACTGAATTCCTCTACACAGAGTACTCAGCTCCACACCTGGCGGAGCAGGAGAAGCCCCGGGAAGCTTCAGCTATCCCACCTGCTCCCTGATGCTGTGGGTGGGGTGGGATTTTATGTCCCACTGGATGTGCTGGGAACAATGCCCTGCTTGCAGGAAGCACAACAGCAGGGGATCAATAAGCAGTCAGGAGGCTTTGCCCAGACAGCCCCCCCTCTTCTCCCTCAAGGAGCCTGAGCCCAAGGACACGTGACATGTCAACAGACACCTCAGGAGAATGACAGCTCAGGCCACAGGACTTCCTGGGCCAAAGTTTTGCAGAGGGACTAGTACCCACTTTCTCCTAGTCCCAGAGACAGCAGGAGCCACCAGAGCAGGGAGGCAGGTGGAGGGAGGCAGAAGGGGAGAGAGATGCAGAGGCAGACACAGGGCAGGTCACCCCAGGACCTGCAGGGGGAGGGAGGGCTTGGGGCTGTGGCTGTTACTATTCACCCTTTCAAGGTCCCCGCGGGACTCATCTGGCATCACAACTTAAAGGATGACTCTGGCCCCTGCGGTGGAATAAGTTGTAGGAGATGAAGGGAAGCTGGAGACAGGTTCATTTTGTCTTTGTGGTTTTGTTTGTTTGTTTGGCTCGTTTGTTTTTTGTCATTTTCAGTTTTTCAAACACAAGCACAGAGACCAGAACGAACCCCCATCACACCCCGACCCGTGCCCCCCAGACACGAGACTGATGGCGCTGAAAATCACTGCCGTCTCTTCACTGCGAGCAGAGCCAGTGACAGACTCAAGGAACCGCAGCTAAAGTCAGAGCGGGGAGGCCTGAAGCGTGAGCTCTGTCACGTTAGCACAGCCACCTTGTAGAGACGCTTCACTGCACATCCAACAGCAGGAGCACATCCCCAGCCTTCCAAATGGAAGGACAAAGAAAGACTCATCCTGCCCAGTCACTATCCCACCAACCAGAAGCTCCGAAGCCCGTCCAGGGACAAGCTGCCACCCCCTGGACTCTCGCTCTCCTCCCAGGGACTTTCACCTAGAACAGCCCCCAAGTTCCATCCTCTCCTCTAGAAAAGCTTCTTTCCTTTGCCTCTCTGGATTGGCCAATGTTCCACCATGGCCTGCATTTCCCAGATACTTCTGCTCTTCCCAAATAAATCCATTTTGTGGGTATAATAACCAGCTGTTCCTTTTTTATCAACAAAAGGTAGAATCTAGTCTGCCCTTGATTGTTCCTCCTTCAAACAGAGCCCCAAGAGCTGAAATATGAAAATGTCTATGAACATACAGAGAAGAGTCTACTACTTTGCATAGAGATAAGGACATTTATTGCCTTCTGAATCTTTCTGTATTGGTTAAATTTTCCAAGTGAGCAGCCACTATTACTTTTGTATTTTTAAAAAGCAATTTTTTTTTTAAATAACACATTTTCTTTCCATGGAACTGAAAACAGCAGCATCTGATTGAGTCAAGGACCAGTGTGCTGTGAGGGACTCTGAGACCTGACTGGTCACCCGGCAACCCAGAGGCAACGGACACTGTGTTCCCCGGGATGGGACAAAGAGAGGCCCCGGCCCCCGGGGCTTCTGGGGGATTAGCCCAGGAACCACTGGCTGAGGACAAACTGTGAGTGAAAGCTGGATGGGGCCTTTTCTCTTCTGTTCTAGTTCCTCAAAAGTCACATGCCTCTTGTCACCTCCCTCCCTGCTCCCCTCAGCCACATAGTAATAATCTACTGTCAGGTTCTCACTCCAGGGAATCGAGTTAAGGGCAATGGCCTGGGAACCAGAAATCCTGGGCTCCAGCCCTGAGGTTGTCTTACGCAGAGGGGCTGGATGACTGGGTAGATATTGACCTGGCTGTGCTTCTGGTTGCTAATCTGTGACGCAGAGGGCTTGTGCCAGTGGCCTCCCTTCAGCTTTCAAGGTCTACACTTCTGAAAGCTCGAGATGGTGTGAGGCTCTGTGGAGTCTGGAAAGAGAGGGATGAGGACCACCCTTATTCTGCTCTGGGATTTGGGCAGAGAGCTCATTGAGTCTCAGCTTCCTTATTTCACCTGAATTGTGGGAACCCAAAACATGTGTGAAAAAAACACACTATTTAGGACACTGTGGTAGCAAAAGCGAAAGCATCAAAGCAGAGACCTCCCTCAGGGGAAGCAGGACAGGTCAGGATCAACCTGTAGAGTGGATTCAAAGAGTCAAGTGTCGGGCCTCCCTGGTGGCGTAAGGGTTAAGATGCAACCTATGAAGCTGTCTGCAGCCACTCAGCACAAGTTAAATTCCCATTGGCCAGGGAGCAACCCACCTGGTGCAGCAGACCTTTCCTGACTCACCTGCTGCTCCCCTCAGCAGTGTGCTTCTTCATCAGTCTGTCTGTTCTCGTCCCCACTCTGTCTCTGGTGAATCCTTTCACCTTCCGCACCTGGACCTGGACCCCAGCTCTTGTGTGCATAAATAAATAAATCTTTTAAAAAAACTGTCTAGTGTCTCTGTCCCCTCAGAAGTTGAACCAGTGTGGCAGGTAGCTTTCTGCTCTTTCCCAAACTGTTAAATTGGCAAAGGTCGCCCAGTCCTGTCAGAGAAGAACACTAAGGACATGAATAGATTTCATCAGACAATGTCTTGGCTGATTGATGCTCTTTGCAGCAGACAGATAGTGCTGGAGAGAGGGAGTTGTGGCTGTTTGCATTCCCAGGATTAACAGGGCAAATCTGTCAGAATTACTTATCAGTTCTACTTCATTCCTTTTTCTCTCACTATCCCTTCTCCCCTTCAAGACCCTGCCCTGCCCTAGATAGCCCGGGGTACTCTGCAGGGCTTCAACAGCAGGAGAAGATGAGGCTGACCCACTGGATTTTGGGGTAGAGCATCTGTAGAGAGGACCATCATGTCCCCCTTCCCAAAATAAGATGGAGCCAATTCCCCAAGCCTGATCAGCACTGTGCTGTGGCTTGGGTTGAATGACAGACACAGTCAGGGTGATAGTCGGGTCTCTGGGCTGGGACCTTAGACCCTCAATAGATTCTGCTTCTGCTTAAAGGGAATCAGACAACCATGGAAAGTCCAGGATATCAGCATGGACAGAAGAGGCAAATCTAGGGGGGAAAACTTGGGTTCCCTGCCTATGAGTGATCCCAGCCAACACCACGAGAAGAAGGAGACCAGTCACCCCAGCCATTCCCCCAGATGCTTGAGCCATTCTGTTAGGGCACCAGACACATGAGTGAGGCCATCTTGAATCCTCCAGCCCCAGGTGAGTAGCCCCACCTGAAACCACAGAGGGGCAGAGAGGAGCCATTCCACAGGAGCCTGCTCAGATTCCCTGTCCACAGAGCAAATGGTGCAGAGCAAAAGGATTACTGTGCTAATCAGCAAAGTCTTGAGAACAATAACACCACTGTTGGTCCTCTCCTGTCCCAATCTGACTTCTTGACCGCTTTTATTATGAGCACAATAAATCCCTGCATTAAACTCCTCTGTTGGAAATACTTAGAGCTAGAAAGCGGTAACAGACACGTGCAATAAAAGGCGTGTGCAATAAAAGGGTAAACTTGCCCTTTCAATGGAGATGTGCCGATAAAATAGATCTCAGATTCCAAACGGAGTTGTGAGTCTGATGCCAAAGTCCTGAGAATTTGCAAAGAACAGGAGACTAAGAACTTGAGGACGACTCTCCATAGGTGTCTGCTGTAGACTCCCTGCCCTCTGGCACCTGGTTGGGTTGTGCCAATAGGAGACACTGGTAATAAGGGGGGTGGAGTAGGAAGAAAGAGTGGGGGCTTGGGCAGGCCCTGAAACTATCATGGCAGCAGCGGGGGGTCCAGACATAGCCAGAATCAGCTGCTGGGTCACTCCTGACCCTCTCTTCCAGGCTCAGGTGTGAGCAGTGACTGTTTCCTCCCCCACAGCCACTCTTGGCAGGTGGCCCCTCTCCAGAGACCCCAGCCATCCCCGACCCACCCCAGTAACACAGGCCTGCAGTGGGAACAGCGCCCCCTGATGCTCCCCACTGGGCGCTGCAGCCCTGACTGTCCCATGAACCCTGCCCAGGTCTTTGGAAATGGCCCCCTTTAAAGTCTCTTTCATGGATCTCTTCAGTGCCCCGTGTGCTTTCTGCTGACAAGCTGATTAGCACAGGGCACGTTAGGATCTGGAACCGGAGATTGTAGAGAGGATCCGTGAAGAGGATGTCCCTCCAGGGGGCTGACGGGGGTGGACGCCAAGGATGACCAGGGAAGATAATGAATCAGGGTAGAAGCAGCAAAGGGAGTTCTGAGCACAGTGTTGGGGAGGGGGGTGCTTGCTGGAAGTGGGTTCCATGCTAGGGAGATCTGGAGGGGCTGTTTCATGAGGAATGCCGAAGACTTGGGGCTGCTGCAGTTCGCTGGAGGAGATCATCTCTGCTGGCCAAGCTGCACTTCGGGTTCATGGAGGGTGAGAGGAAGCAGGTGAGCGTGGTTCTCACATGCAGGGTGTGAGCTTGTGGAATCCTTCCTTCTGGTTCACATTCTGCGCTGTTCCCTCCTGTGACCCTCGTCACCAGTCAGTGAGCCTCTCCATTGTGTCCTCTGAGGAAAAGCTGACCCCCATGGCGCGGCAGCCCTCGCCTGTCCCCTCAGCAGTGTATTTCAGTACATCCCCCTGCTCTGCTCCCCGCTCTGTCTCTGGTGAGTCCTCTCACCCCCACACCTTGGCCTGTGTGGGGGTTCTTGTTCTTGGATGCATAAATAAATAAATCTTTAAAAAAAAAAAAAAAGAAAGAAACATCCGAAAGGTGGGTGAACTGGGGAAGTCTGAATCTTAAATGGACCTGGCCCAAGCACCTGTCCTCATGCCCAGACAAGATGACAGTCCACAGCAGTGCTCAGGAGAGAAGAGCACAGTGGGGGAGAGGAAAGGCTCCTGCAGGGAGAGGGACGGCCAGTCAGGGCCAGGGGAAAAGGATCCGAACTGGACTGACTGTGCTAGACTGTTCACTGCTGCGTCTTTGTCGTCCCCACCACACTGACATGGGATTATTATAGTTCTCACTTGGGTGGCAGGGAAGCTCGAGCTCAGGGGCAGCAGGTAACCCTCTCCCGGTCATAGAGTGACCCCAAAATAGGAACTCAGAAGTGCCTGATCCAAAATTGTGCAATTCTTAATAATCCAAGCGCTATCCAAGGGAGTACCAATTTATTTGTCAAATCTTCATTCAACACATCTGTTTGTTATAACCAAGAAAATCTCCAATTTTGAAAAGGAAGCAACATGTTTTTAAATAATGAAATTAGAAAATATTTTTAACTGAATGATAATGAAAAGACATATTAAAACTTAGGCACGGGAGCACTCAGAGAAAACTTTATTGAAGCAAATGTATGTGTTAGAAAAGAAAAAAAAAAACTGACAAAAATCCATGGTTTAAGCTTCCATTGCAGTCAGATGAATAAAGAAACCCCAAGGAACTAGGATGAATTTCTATACCTCTACCGATACAGAGAAGATTAAAATACAATTTAAAAATTTGAACATTGATTTCTTTGAATGAGTGGAAAATGCTGACAGTCCCCAAACTAGACTGATCAAGAAAAAAGGGAGAAGCTTCACCTGCAGGGTCAGGCACGCACGCGCACTGCCAAGCAGACCATGAGCCCTGCGGAATGGAGGAAGAAACGTATGTTTTCAAGTCATTCAGAAAAATCACATTCCAGATTTTATTGTATTTAACCTCACAGGCACTTACTGGTGGAAAACATAAGGCACGTTAAGTGTTGTGGTTTAGTCCTCAAAACAGAGAGCACATGTGCTTTGGAGTCCCACAGACCCGAGTTCAAAATCATCCTCTTCCTGAACTAAATTATGACATTAGGCCAGTGATAGAATCTCTCTGCACTTCCATTTTCTCATCTAACACATGGAAGATAATAACATCAACCTCACTGCGCAGCGCACCAAGCACTGGGAAGCTCTCACAAGACTTTTCCCACATGACCATGATCATGGCATTTATAGTCTGACTATCAATAGATCCTAAAGGGTTCAAAATGGACCCTGACACAAGGCCGTTCATGTGGAATGTGACACTTTCTGGAAAGCTTGGGTGTTTGTCTTCCTGGACTTGACAGCACCAATATGCACCATACTGAAAAATGTGCTCATTTTTATAAAGGAGGCTGCCCACAGATACCCAACGTAAACCCTTCATAGGAGAGTTAAAATGAAATAATTCAGGATAACATTTTCATTCTAATATTATACAATGATTTCTCTTGAATAATACCACATCAAAACAAAAGCTATGTTAAGACTGGAGAGAAAGGTCTTGTCCGGTGTTGAAATGACAGGGGCTCCCCTCAAATCCTCAGCTCCCCACCAGTGTGGCTCCCGAGTCAGGCAGGTTGATGGACAGCAAGAGTGCAACGATTAAACCGATCACGCCACTGTCCCGTAATACAGATTTGCATTGTGAAACCCCACGATTCAGACATGCAGGAAATGACTTCCTGTGACAGGAAAACAAAAATGGAGATCAAGAGGCAGCTCAGTAAAGGGTCTGGTTAATTTGACAATGAAAAAACCCCTTCATTAGTAACAAAAGAACCCATGGGCCCCGCAGCACCCACCCCATCTCCTGACAACACAGAGAAGGGCCAAGTCAAGAGTGAGAAATAAAATGAGAAGTAAATACTTTGAAGGGAGTTTGATGACAAAATCCCTTTGTGCAAGGATAGAAATGACCTGCCGGCTCTCACACTTAACAGCTGCCAACATGAACATCAACTGATGAGCAAGGACAGCAAAAGCAGCACCCTGAGACGAGGGTCCCCAAATTATCTGTTGATGACCTGCTCTCTTCTCCTCAGGAGCTTCTTGAGAGAATGTTGAGCCAAAGCCTGAGAAGCTGCAGTGTTTCTAGACTCTGGAGAAGGCAGGAGCAGGAGGACCTCACCTCCTCTGCACAGAGCAGCCCCAGGGGGATCTAGCTGGTGAGTGACTCTCATTTCCATAAAAACAAGAAAACAAAGCACCAGGGCCCAGAGGGAGGGGCTGGCAAGTGGAGGAGGGGTAGAGGGGGAGCAAGGGGGTTCATCACAGGAGAGTCCAGGCTGATTGAGCTGAAGGCAGAGAAGGAGCCTTAGAACAGAGACCAGCACCCACGGGCTTCTGAACACTCGGGTCTGTCTCTAGCCCATTCCAAGGCCAATGGCACAGAGGCTTGAAGTGTGGCTCCCCCATCCTCACCAGTGTGGTGGCCCGGGATCCCCCAGAGAATAGACTCAGGGAAAGAGGGGGGAAAAGCATCCACAGAACAGGGAGGGCCCAGTTCCCTGCTCCCCCAGAGAAGGGCAGAGCCCAGCAAGGAGGAGCAGCTGGAGAACCTGGGAGACGGAGGAGCCATCAGGAGGGAGACCTGGAGGAGGCAGGAAGATCAGAGACCCAGGCCAAGAAGCCGCCCTTATGTCTCAGCCTTGGACTGGACCAGGGACTTGGGGGACAGGGAAGGAGACACTTGAAGCGCCAAAGACGTGCGGGACAGACCCGTGGGGAGGCTGACAATGGCAGCCTTTATCTTGACTTGGCTTTGGATTTTGCTCCTTTTCTTGCAGACCTGCCAGCCCCTTCTGCCCCTTCCTATGGGCCCCACCAGGAGAACCCTAGGCTGGGGGCCGGCTCTCGGGCCTCAGCGCCCCGCTTGGGCCAACCCTGTCTGGCTGGGCTTTTACCCTCAAGGGGATGGGTAACTGTGGGGGCTTCTTTGGAAACTCTATTCTCTCCCTCCTCTTTGTTGCCCACTAATTGTTTCCAAGTTCCTTTCCATGACAGGTCTTCTGCATGTTTTGTCTTGATAGGGCAGATGGCAGAGCCTATTTAGAGCTGGCAGGTTTGGGGGTTCTGGGTTCCCCGACCCTGCCCGGAACAGGGGTGACAGGACAGGTAAGGAAGAATGAGCAGGTGGCCCAGGGTGGCTGGGAACCCTCCTGGGTAGTTAGAAGGGGGGCGGGGGAGGGGAAGGAGATCAGGATAGTTCATCCCCATCACCACCAGGAACAAGAGGGACTCATGAGACCTCCTGACACAGAGGAGGCAGAGAGAAAATGCCTACAAATACCAAGATGCCATTCCTGCCTTAAGAAAAAAATCAATGACCTGTCCGTATGCTCGCAAGTAAATGCAATGTCTCGTCTTAAATCTGATTTCAGTCGTTGTATGGAGCCTGAGCATGAGTCCCTGGAAAGAAAGAGGCAAGTGTTAAAATGACAAGATCTCACAGACATTTCTTGAATCTCTTAGTTTCTTCTGAGGAGCAGGCAGGCCCTGGGCCAGGCTCTGGGCAAAGAGTGGAGCAGAGGAAGCTTCTAAGGGCTCCCAGCTGTAGGGGAGCAGAAGGTGGGAACTAGGTGGGTGTCTATTATGGAGAGGAAAGGAAGAGAGAGTGGTTGGGCTGGGTTGAGGGGAGAGTGACTCCCCATCCATCCCTGCCCCAGTCTGTTCCCAGGACATTCTTGTGACTAGGGATTCTTTCATGGCTCAGTTCCTGAAATCACCCTGAGAATACAGGAGTAAAAAGGAGCAACAGATACCTGGTTTCGCTGTCATGGATCACGCAGGCATGTAGTGCGGTAACAGCTAAAGACAAATTAGGGACTTCCACACTTGCAAAAACACTGAGATGAAAGAGACAAAAACCATTAGCCCCAAACCACAAACTGAACCAGGTTCCTAGTGCCTGTCAAAGCCAGCAGGCCTGAGGCCACTGGTTAGAAGCTACTCTCTGACACTGACCCATAATTTGCATTAGAAACACCCAGTGTACTCATTCAGTTCAACCCTCTGAACAAAGTTCTCAAAACAAGAGCTCATATCTGCACATCAATAGGGATTTTTTGCATTTTGTTTGTTTGGTTTTTTTTTTTTTTTTTTTGAAGATTTATTCATTTCTTTATCCAAGAACCAGGGTACAGGCCAGATTGGGGAGGGTGAGAGGATTCACCAGAGACAGAGTGGGGACCAGAACAGGCACACTGATGAAATATACTGCTGAGGGGAGCCATGGGCCCAAAGGAGAGCTCTGCTGGGCCATGTGGGACTCTTGCCAGCCAGCCTGGATGCAACCCCTGTGGCAGAGGCTGCCTGCAGACAGCTTCACAGCGCTGCACTCAACTGCTTGTGCCACCAGGGGAGGCCCGTTTCTTTGCATTTTCTTATTCCAAAAGGTGGTCTTAGGCCACATTTGAGCTTTCCCTGCTGAGTCAGAACCTACTGCTGCAAAGCCCCTGGGGAGCACAGGCAAGACCCCGGGGTGCACAATTGGAGCTTGAGAAGCACTGCTTTGAAAAACGCTGATGTCCTGCTCTAACCCCAGTCCCCAACTCTTCCCCATGAGTCTGACAATTGTCATTCCTTGTGCAAATACTAGACCCCCAATACCAGATATAGAATTGGGGAATGTTAATGTTTTTACCCCCAAGTCCACAAAGTTGGGGTCAGAAAAATATATAAATGCCAATGCTCCTTTGTGGAGTTAGACGTAACAGAAAAGAAGGAAAATAAATTTGGGGCACCAGAGTGCCCTGAAGATGGAGAACACAGACTGAAAAGGTCCCTGAGGTGGAAGCAGATGTAAATACAGGGGCAGTGGGAGACAGAGACTCGGATGGGGTAGATTCCGGGATGAATTCAAGGAGAATTAGCGCTGATATTCCTCGGTCTTTTCCTCTGCTGTGGGCAAAGATGCTGGACATTGTTCGTGCATCAGCTCAGATGATCTTCACATCACCATCACACCCCGGCTCCTAGTCCAGGGGCTGCAGAGGTCAGGTGCCCTGCTGGGGTCACATGGCGACCACGATGATCTCTGGAGTCCACCCCTGGAACCCTCACAACACACTGTGACAACACCAGCCCTGAGCGATAAAGGCCCTGCAGCTGCCACCACGCCTGACGTGCTCCACTGTCATTTCACAGCTGGGTGAGAGTCTCACGCTGTGCATGGAGCAGAGAGGAGTCAGATCAGATCTACAGGACGGAGAATTTAGAGAATGTGCAGTGTGGGGAAAGGTGTTCTGGGGTAAAAGTGTGAACAAAGATGGGGAATGGACAAGATGGAAGGTCATGAGAGACATTGAAAAGATCACAAGGGTCAAGAGGAGGAGGAGACACGCAGCAAGGACCACTTCAGGGCTGATGCAAAGGAGCAACTGGACAGAAGTACCAACAAGGAAGGCAAAGGTCTCCATAGAGACACAACTTTTACCCTTTGAGTCCAAATTTTCCATCCTCACTTTAAACACAAAAATCATATCCTCTTAGAGACAAATTTTCCCATAGGTGGTGATGCTGACCACAGAAACAGAAATCATGTACCTGGATCCATTGTAGGCGACAGACTCTTTGTTGGACCCATTGAGTAACACAGGGACCTTTTTACAGGCATTTTTTGCAAACTGAAAAACAAAAGAGAACCTCACTATCCGTCCGCATGCAAACGTCAGCACCAACCCCAGCACTTCCACCAAAACAGCTCCCAGGTTCAGCTGGTGAAAGATGGAATATCCCGCGTGGGTCTAGCTCAGTGAAGTCAGGTCTGTGAGTGTCGTGCCCAGACATTGCAGGAATTTCGCGTCACATGGGGATTCTGGAAGGAGTGGCTCCAGTTTGTGTCTGAACAATGAAGGTCAATGTCATTGTTCCCAGGGGAGCTAAATTAGGGTCCAGAAGCCGGAAGTGTAGAGACTGAGGGGAACTTCACTGGGGAAGGAAGCGAACACTTTCTGGGACCTGCAGTGTAGACACTGAGCATTTCACCTTGGGAGTTAAGCAGTGGAAGAAATGGGTGAGCCAAGAGGAGGGAGGTAGGAGAGAAGGTGACACTGAGCCCTGGACAGGCCCAAAGAGAAATGCATGGTGACATTATGAAGCCAGGAGTTGTAGCTCACCGTGCAGCAAACATTTAGCTGGCGTCTGGGCTAGGCCTGGGGGATTCAAAAGGAACAAAACAAAGGCAATGACATGTTCCCCAGGAGGCTCACCAGGACTCCAGGACAGCTCCAGTCCCTTCCCTGAACAACAGCAGTATCCCACATCCTCCATGTGACCTAACAATATGGTACTGTGGTGAGGAGCTTAACCACCAGCAATGGGAAAGCTTGAGAGTTGTGACCCCCTGCTGGCTGTGACCAGGGTGGGGGGAGGGGATTGGGTGGGCAACCCATGGCAGAGGGGGCGCCCAGGAAACCCTGTCACAGGAGCAGAGGGAGGAAAAGGAAGGAACCAGGAGCCAGAAGTGCAGTTCCCTGTGAGGGAGATGAGGAAGGGCAGGAAGAGGTCATGGAGGGCAACAAAGACCAAACCCGAAGGATGAACAGGATGTCGTCGAGTCAAGGAGGCTGCTGCCAACAGAAAGGTCAGGGGGCTTGAGAGAATAGGGGCGATTTGGGGGACCCCTCAGTGGATGCTGAAGTGAAATAGAAGAGTCAGTTCATGGAATTCAGGTTCATGGATGTTTAGTCACGGGCTTTGCCTTTATCCTGCAAGTGGTAAATCACCGTAGAGAGAAATTGAAACGGATTATGAAACCCAGCGTGTCTCTTCCCTCCAGGTATGAGGCACAGAGGCCAGTGGTGGGGGTCACCAGTCACAGGGGTAACTCAGTGGAGTGCTGTCAGGTAGCTGAGCAGGGATCCCGCAAAATAGAATTAGCAAGAGCCCCACAGAGTAAGTATTGGGGCAATTTTCCCCAAGGTCATGTGTCTTGGCAGCAAGGAAGGAAGACAGGGTGCAACCACCAAGCCACACTGTCTCTGTGTCAGAGACGGAAGGATGGAGTCTGATGAAAGAAGGTCATGGACACACATCTCTGAGATCTGGCGAAGATAAAGGTGCAGTCCCGGGGGATCTCTCCATGCCAGAGTCACTGAGCTTAAGTCACTAGATGGATTTCAGGCCCTAGAACATTCTGTCTGTGTGTGTCTATGGAAACCTGCCTCTCCCTGAGGTTTACTTTTTAGACACAGCAGCACCTAGAGGCTTATGGGATGACATGGAGCTGAGCGCCAGGCCAGCCGGAGAACACACCTGCAGATGCAGAGGAGGGGCTGCCCAGAGGCCAGGGGCTCCCCACAGAAATGCAAATTCCAGTGTCTGAAGGAAAGTCCCTTGATGCATGAACTGCCTTGGAATTAGCCAGTTGTAAGCGAACTTCAGTCAAGTCCACATTTCTTTGCCTCTAAGATGCGTGTCAGCCAATAAAACTTTGCTCCTTTGCCCTCAACCTAGTCTCCAAAGCCTCTATAATTTTATCCCCTTTCTGAACTGGTGGGGGGGGGGAGGCAGCTTTAAGCTGATCTCCTGTCTCCTTACCAATTCAACCTCCATGAAGATATTTCCTTTACTCAATCCTGGTGTCATAATAACCTGGTCTCCGCACATCAGGCATGTGGTGGTGTCATTCCCAGCAAGCAAGTTGGGCTGGAGGTGGGTGGGGGCGCTGGGCTGGGGGGCTGGAATGAATAAAGGGAGCAGACGGGCTGCCCTAAAAACTGATCCCTCCTGCATGATCCAGGTCATGAGTCAGGTCACACCCAAGCCAGCACCCTACCCAGTCAGTGATGCCTGGAGTCTGAACAGCGCCCCGAGACCCTCCCTGCACAGCGGACCAAGGCTTCTGTCTCACCTGCTGCTTCCCTTAACTCTTTGGTTCAATAAAGCTGCCTTTTCTATTCCCTGCTCTGTCTCAGAATTTTTTCACCACTGTGTCCCCAGCCTACACCCCAATTCCCCCCAGAAATAGGGTGGGAAGCTGGTTGCTTGGTAACAGTAGAGTGTCCCTGGTCACCTTTACCGTGTTTTCTGCTCCAAGGCTAACATTTCACTTACCTTTACTTTTAGCAGATATTTTATTTACCGAGACCTCCAATCTGTCACCTGTAAAACACACGTGATGTGCATGGAACCTACTTCGTGGGGTTCTTGTGAGAATGAAAGATTTTAATCCACGGAACAGCCAAGGAATGTGCCTGGCAGGGAAGTGGCCTGTAAACCTGGACTCTTAGGATTGTTCAGAATCCACATTGGCCAACACCTGGATCAGATGATTAAAACAGTCTGAGTGTCCTGGCAGCCAAAGTCAAAGAATGGAAGGATGAGCCCGGGGATTCTCTTCAACTGGGGGCCTGGACCCTCCATGAAACCCCAAAGCTATATGTGAAAATCTTCTGGAAGGGGCTTATGAAAGTCCTTCTCAGGAAAGATTGAATCCTACATAGTTTTTCCTAAAAGGTCCTGTGATCCAAAAAGAAAGAAAACCAACCATTGACCTTTAAGTTCTTGGGTCTCCAGAATTCTAGCATTTCACTGCTGGTGCTTACCCATTTGGACGCCACATCCCAGAATACTCGGGTAGGACCCATAGGGCAGATTCCATTCTTTTCTTGATAAGGGCCAAACTTCACTTCTAAAAGACACAGTTTACAGAAAGTAATTGAAATGGAAAAGAGTTTAATTTAGCCCCATTCTTCCCCAGGTCTTCCAGCTGGTGGAGACATTTTCCCACTGCCAAGGAGGAGGAGAATGGACACATCTCCACCCAATTTCACTTAGTGCCCTGATTCCCTTCCAGATCCTTACCTTGCCCTCCAAGCACCAAAGGGGAATGAGGTGACCAGCTCTGAGTCATCATGCTGGGATATGACAGCCAGAGCTCACCTGGCAGAGCAGCCCCAGGCTCTTCCCACATCCAGGAAGACTTAGGTGTGAAACTAGGCCCTCAGGGGGCCTCTGGCCACCTGCTGCTCTGTTTCCTGCCAACACTCTCTTGTTGACAGCTCTCCTCCCTCTCCCCACACCCTTAGGATCCAGACCCCCTGAGTAAAATGTCTACACTCCTCCCCATCAAGAAGAGCACTATCATTGGGGAGCTGCCATGGAGAATATGAAACAGTTTCTGAGTTGCTTAGCCTAAGGATATTTGCATGAATGACATTTGTTTTCTTTTTATAGATGTATAACAGACAAATAAAGTCATAATCTATTTCGATTGTAAAACCTGATGACTTGATATCTGTATATATTGTGAAAAGATTCCCCATCTAGTTGACTAGCACATGCATCACCTAAAATGTATGTTTTTATTTTCATGAGAACATCTAAGACCTTCTCCCTTTGCCAATTTCAATCACATGACACAGTGTTATCAAGTGTCATCACCTCGCTGCACACAGATGCTCAGAACTTCTTTATCCTGTAAGGCAGAGTTGGTTCCCTTTCACCACCCCCTCCCTAGCCCCTCCACCTTCCAGCCCCTGCTGCGTTTTGACTCTGTTTTTGTTAACTTAATGTTTCTGTTTTGTCAGACTTCACATGTGATGTCATACAGTATTTATCTTTCTCTGTTTGTCTTGTTTCAATAGCATGATGCCCTCCAAGCTGATATAGGCTGTTATAGAGGGCAGGATTTCCTTCCTTTACAGCTAAACAATGGAATAATATGTATTATTAGTAAAATATATACATTTCCATTTTCTCACTGCATTTGACTGCACAAACACTTATTGTGTTAGTCCTAAGATTGGAAGGATGAACAGAAGTTCTCACCTTTAGCCATCACATGATCTATTATTGAACCCTAGGGCAAGTCAGGGATCATGAGGCAGCCTCAGGACAGTGCAGGGACTTCAGGAGAGCTAAGGAAGGCTCCAAAGAAAAGGACAACAAATTCCAAAGGGGACTAATCAAACACCCCAGTACTAAGGTCAAGAGGACATTCCAATTTGAGGACAATAAAGAGGAAAGAGAAGGTGGGACACAGAGACGTAGCTCCGGGCACAGAGACATTGAGGCAGTGATGAGACCACCCAGAACTAACCACTCACAAAGACCCTGGTGGAGCTTTGGAATCATCAGGGAAAGAAGGTGCATATTCCCTGAGACAGGCCTCCACTGTGGCTTCCTTGGCCCTCCCAGGGCTGGATTCATGGGCTGGGAGTCCCACTTCATTTCTGTTCCTTTTCTCCTCAATAAAAGATTTCTTTCCCTAAACAAACCTGCCCCCTCTCGCTGCTTGCCTGAGGGTCTGAGGCTTTGGGGGCCTATACTCAGCACTGCCCCTGCAGGTTGCATCTGTTCCTGGCTGGGAGACTAGGCCCGAAAACTGACAGTTCCAGTATCAGTATCCTCAAATAAACCAGAGAAACGGGTTGGGGTGGCCAGCAGCACACTAGGGGAGGCTGGTGTGGCCCTCAGCAAGGTTTTCTGAGGAGAAACCACCTTCTCATATTAAGGTGTTTTGGGTCTTTCTGGGCAAGATACAGCGACTTCTGAAAAATGGCAGAGACCTAAGGTTTCCCAGCCCCCTTGTTCTCGGGATGTGGTCTTGGTCCCAGAGTTCCTGCTGGTCAAGCTGTTAGGGGGAAAGGATGTCCTGAGATAATCTCTTACAGGCTTTGTGGACTCCACCCCCACTCCAGACTAAAGCCATCAGGACATTGGGAAAGACAAATCCCATCACCACCAAGGGCGGGTGTAACTTGGAAACCACGTTGGGCGCCAAACTGTTGTAGAGCAACCCCGATACAAAACGGGGTGCCTGACTGTGGGTCCTCACCCGCGCGCTTAAAAGGACTTATCAATGCTCTACTGCAGGCACACGTGAAAGGTTAATAAAAGGTTTATTTACAAGGGAAAGGGAAATGAGGAAATGTACAGCTCTGGGAGAAAAGTGGGAGACAAAGTTTTAAATGAGTCCTACCCGATCCGCCGATCAGGAATCCCAAAATGGCGCTCTGAGAGCTGGCCGCCAGCCAGGAGCGGTGAAGCCAGGAGGCGAGCGATCGCGAGCCAGAGAGAGAGCAAGGCCCACGTGTTTGGTTTTTATATCCAACCTGGCTGCCCAACTCCACCCTCAGGTCCCAGCCACCCTCCCCTTGGTGGTGATGGGATTTGTCTTTCCCAATGTCCTGATGGCTTTAGTCTGGAGTGGGGGTGGAGTCCACAAAGCCTGTATGAGATTATCTCAGGACATCCTTTCCCCCTAACAATTGTCCTTTTAAGCGCGCGGGTGAGGACCCACAGTCAGGCACCCCGTTTTGTATCGGGGTTGCTCTACAACAAAGCTACAATGTGGAGTCAGGCAGGAGGCCCCTCACCAGGACAAAAGCCTTGGGATGAGGAACATACGGGAAATCCAGCATCTGCTGAACACAGCAGCGGACATTATGGCCAGGTGAGCGCAACCAGCTCGACCACCTGGTCGGGAAGTCAAGGGTCACAGGGTCTAGAGAGAGGGAGGTTTGATCAGCAGCTCAAATGGAGCCCTAGTCACTGCTCCTCCCTAGTCGTGCCAGACATTTCTGCATCCCCAATCCACCTCCCCACCACCCCATTCCTCCACGGACCTGCCCACCTTCCCCCAATGTCATCCCCAATAAATATGAAGTGAGAGGGCGGAGCAACATGGCAGCGAGGAGACGCTGCGAGTAAGATCTCCCATTAAAAAAAGTGAATAGGGAGGAAAAGCAGCAGGTCCCAGTGAGAACTGGGACACGGAAGATAAACGGGTGACGCCAGCGAACTGCCCGAAGAAGAAAGTGGCCATAAAAGAGGACTAGAAGGGAGGGAAGCGCAGAACCCTGCTCCCCTCCCCCGCCCACAGAGGCGGCACTCTCCGACCGGCAGAGAGGAGGAAACAACAAACCAAAACGGCCAACAAGAAAAACGGACGCAGCAAGCGGGACTGTGAGTGGAAAGGAACTATTGCAGCCACCACACCCCGTGAACGGGAGCTGAGGCGAACCCTGCAGGATCCGCCGCGGAGGTGAGCTCCAGGCACCATTAAAGAGAGCCCCGCCCCCAGGAGGAGACCAGCACCAGCACACAGCCCCGGCCGCCCGGTAAGCTTGCGCGGAAAGTGGCGCGGATCCAGACCGGATCGCAGCTGCCCAGGTCCCCGCGCCTGCGACCTAGGCTTGCAGGGAGACGGCGGAGGCCCTCCCTGAGTGAGCAGGAACAAGGCGCCCAGGCACGGGAGCGGGATTCAAAAGGCGCCATTCCCGCGCCACTGATCTGGGCTACAGCCCGCGTCCTGGAACTGAGGGCTTTGGAACTGAGACCCGGGGCACGAAATTAGGGGCGTGGGTTCCCACGACGGTGGGGCACAAGGCAGACACAGCACCCCAAAGCCGTTGAGGTGTACCCTACCATCCCCGCTCTGCTCCCTGTCCCACGGGGTGGAAAATCAGCTCCCCAAGGGCTCCAGGAGAGATCTCTGGCGCCACCTAGCGACTTGACCCCAGCACAGGCTACTGAAGGAGCTAGTGGCCAGCTGGGGAGTTAGCCCACACCTGGCTCCTTCCGAACAAGTAGTCTGAGCCCACAGGGAGAGCGACCACCCACAGCCGGGGCAGACCAGGCGCGCAGAAGAGTGTGCCTGAGACCAGATGCGCAGGGAGTGTGTCCCACATCACCATTTTAGAACAGGGACATTTCTTCAGTAAAGACTACCTGCAGAAGGCTTCCTCAGGAGCCAGAGGTGAGCGGGGGAAGTTCGCCCACGCCAGACCCCCTCTGGCCTGCAGTCCAAGCCCAGAGGGGAGCAGGAACCCACCGCCGGGGCAGACCAGGCGCACAGGGGAGTGTGTCCCCACATCGGCATTTTAGAACAGGGACCTTTCTCCATTAAAGGCTGCTTGAAACTGACAGATGACTCCTGGAAGAACCAGAGGGGAACAGAGAAGCCCACCCAAGATGCCGGCCAGTCCCAACAACACAGTGTCCCAACGCATACGGCAAATTAGAAAACAGACAGTAGGGAGGAGAAGAACCACACGCAACCTAGCAACTCTCCAGAGAAAAAGCACACCACAAGAAGAAAGCCAGCCCCCAGATTGCAAAGACAATAACTTGGAAGAATTTCTGAGCCTTCCAGAAAGAGAATTTAAAATTGCCGTGATTAAAAAACTGACAGAAGTCATAAAGGAAAACAATGATAAGGGAAAAATAATCAACGATCAGAAGAATGCAATTGAGTCCCTAGAGAGGGAAAACAATGGTCAGAAGAAAGAAATTGAGTCCCTAAAGAGGGAAGTAAAAGAAATGCAGGAGATCAAAGAATTAATGGAAGAACTAAAGAATTCTGGGAAAAGCAATGAAAGCAGAATAGATGAAATGGAAGAACGAATAAGTAATCTTGAAGACACAGAAATAAAAAGAACCAAAACAGAAAAGGAAAGAGAAGTACGAAGGAAAAAGAACGAAGAAAGACTTCGGGAACTATCTGACTCCATGAGGAAAGGAAATATAAGAGTTATAGGAATACCAGAAGGAGAGGAGAGAGATGTAGGAACAGAGAAAATATTCAAAGAGATAATTGAAGAGAACTTCCCAAATGTGAAGAAGGAGCTGAAAATTGATATACAAGAAGCAAGAAGAACACCAAACTTCCACGACGAAAGGAAAAAT